GGGAAAAGCCAGAAAAGAGAAGCTGCAGGAGAGAGCAATGGAGACGGACAGCATGCAGCCCTGGGTCCGGCGTGTTTTGGGTGAGGTCAGTCCCAGCCACTGGGGTTTGCTGCGTGGCAGCTGTACAGAAAACACCCAGCAGATGAACATCAGTAACCATTTAATTCATTTTAGTGTCACACTCCGACATACAGCCAGAATTACACCTCGGCCAAAAACCTTAAAAAGTGGCATTTTATACAGAAGAAAAATCATCCTTTATTCCCCAGAGACATAAACCCCAAACAGCTAACATACATATACAGACGTGCCAAATCTGATAAATACCCAAGAGCCGGGGGGACAAAACCCTTATACCAAAAGTAGAAAAATGCGGACTTGCTTTCTAAAAGCGGAACTCCAAACACCCAGACCTGTAGCATTCTTCAAAGCCTGAAACTAAAAATTAATCTTTCTTTCTATTTCCTCTTATCTCCAGAATGAAATGCAGAGAATGAAATGGGGAAAGCCTTTGGGGAAAGACATGCGACGATAACTTGAACATCATCTTCAGCTATTCATAATTTAGTTAGAGAATCATCCATAGACAAAGCAAAGAAAAAATTAATCTAAAATAAATTATTCATCCCCCCACAGGAATAATGAATCTCTGCAAACCCGTGTTCCCTCCTCCCCAGCTATTGCATTTGATAACGTGTGAACCATCCTGCACACGCACCTTGAGATAATCTATCCTTGGGGAACGGCCGTTCATAATCCCGATGTGCTTTCAACCACCGTTCCTTCTTTTGTCACCCGACATGAAATCAGGAGAGGAAATAAATGAAGCAACAGCGGACTTGGGAAGATTTGTAAAACTGGAGTGACGAGAAACTGCTGTCTCTCTGCAAGTGTTACTGTTGCTCTGCGACGGACATCACCGCTATGGCTCTCTGCAGCTGAGCACCCGCACGCCGCAGCCAGGGCCCAAGCCTGGGCACCCCTGAAAATTCATCCTCAAGAGTTGGTGTTAGCGAACCTGTTAGTGCGCACCTTGCTGCACTGCAGATCGGTCTGAGCAGCATTAGTTAGAAAACCTGCCCGGGATTTCATCTCTGCGGATTTATTCTTTCTGCTTGAATCCTGTGATCAGCTCCTGCCTGTTCAAGCGCAGGCTCGCCTGCTGGCTGTGCAAAGGGAAGACAGGATTTTGACAGCCAGGCACCAAATTTGCCCTCCCACAGCCACGGGGCTGAGGAGAGGGACGGGGAGCAGCCTGCGCCCAAGAGGGGATGGTGCTGAAGCACGAACAGGCAGACGCAGCGTCAGCCCAGGCTCTGCCTCGCTTGGGGAACTCCTCAGTTCACCTCCTCCCTCCCTGGTCCCAATGAAGCTCTGGGTTTGGGTGGATGGCGTTCATTTTCCTGGAGCATGTCTGATCCCCGCCTCCCAGATGTGCAGCAGCGAGTACTACAATCCCTAGTGAGCACAGCCCCTAATAAATACAGTTCGAAGGCCCAAACTTGACCTGGTGGGGAGCCTGACCCTCCCAAGAAGGCATTTGACAGCATGATTGCTCCTCACCTGCCAAACTGGTACAGGACTTCTTTTTCCTGCACATGCAAGTGAAGCTTGAGTTAAAATAAAGCAGGCACGACTGGTCGATCTGTCCCTAAACCCATATGGGATTCAATCGTTCACGGTTGGGCATATGCCTTCAAAGCCCCCCGGAGAGGGTACAGAGGAGTTTGGGAAGAAATCCAGCGTTGCTAACGACGAGGTGATGTCTCCTTGCACTGAGAGTCCTCGGGGAAGCTCACACAACAGGCAGGGCGCAGACGTCCACCGACCCCAAGCCTGCTCCGCGCTGGCTTCGTGGCTGTGTGCCAGCAGGAGCTGGCCTCCCCGGAAAGGGGCCCCGGGTTATCCAAAATATTTCACCTCTGGTTCTCTCTGTACTGGTGCGAGCTGAAGCTCAGAGGAGGAGAAGGAGAGGAAGGCCCTTGAAGTCTGAGGCTGGTGTAAGCATCCCATCCCAGGATGAGGCTCAGGCTCCGTGTTAAAGCCAACATTTCCAGCACCTCTCCTTGCAGGGCAGCGAATGTCCCAAAGGGGCACACCCCTGCTCAGGACACACCAGCTGGCGCGACAAGAAGGGGCTGGTGCTGCTTGACGCTGGCTCCATGAGCAGCCCTTTGTGGAGAGAGGGTAAGATGTGGTACGAGAACTCCCATTGGGGACAGCGGGTGAGTCCAACACATGCGAGAGAAATAAGAAGCAGCTGGAGATGGGCTCCGCAGATGTCTAGTTTGGCCTTTAAGCTGCTACAGCGACCGAGGCTGCTGGCTTGTTGGCAGGAGGTTTGCCAAGGTGCAGAAGGCATTAATTCAGTCCTTTCCTCCTGTTCTGAAAAGGATTTGCCTTGCTGTTTTACTGGTGGTTTATGCATGCCTGTCCTGGAAGCAGGGGAGAAATCTGCTTTGGGATTCTCTCCCGGGCATCTCATTAATTCAGTGGAGCTGCAGATGCCTGGATCCCAGCTGTTAAAGGGTTGGGGTTTTTTTGGTGGTAGTGATGGTTTGGGCTTGGTCATCCCCCCCACAATAAATAATGAAACAGAGGAACAGCTCTGCAACAGGGAGTGAGCAGTAACACTGAAGTCTCAGGTAAAATCCTCAGTGCTGCAGCAGGAGCTCAGCCGGGCTGAAGGCTGGGACACCAAGGAATCACAGCCAGATATTCTCTGAATCCACCTAAACAGTTTTTATAGCTGCTGACTTCCAGATACCTCTATTTTCTCCACCACATGGACCCAGCCATGTCCTGGGTTTCATTCCTGATAAGCTAAGGGCAAACACCTTGGTCAGATCCTCCCTCGGTCTGAATGGAGATGCAGTGCCACGGTATATGACGGTTAAGAGATCAGAGGGCATGGGAGTGATGGGACACAGATTTTTCAGCAGCATACTGTAAATCATAAGTCTAACGAGCTTTGCTCCCTGTCATTGCAGCTAGTCCTGAGCCATGGAGTTTCCTTCCTTCTGCTCACTTAGAGTCTTTTTTTGATGAGTTTTTCCAGTTTCCGTATCCGAGAGGACTCCTGCTCGGGTGTAGGAGCACTCAGTGAGAGGGAGCCGGTGTTCTCCACGCCGGAGGGGGGAGCTGGGAGGCGCTGGCGGAAGAGGTCCAGCATGCTGCTTTGCTCGCTCCTCTTCAGGCCCTGCGGGAGCAAAAGAACAGTGAAGCACACCAGTTAGACTTCATTGATCTGGGAGCGGGTGTGCATGAGAATAGCTGCAGGAGAGCCTACTGCAAACCTCAACCTTTTGTTCACCCACCAAGAGCTGTCTGTAGACCTCTGGATGATCCCGAGACAAGTGAGCTCAGCCCCGGGAGCCAGAGCAGGTATGAGCACGCGAAGTGAACTGAAAAGCTATCCTTCAGTAGCAACTCTACACACTTTCAGACTACAGAGGATACACTTGCCTTAGAGTGCTTTTCCTACTCCCAAACCCTTCTATATTTCTACTGAGAAAAAGTCACCAACAATCTCAATGCAGTACTAGCAGACGAGCAGAAACTCTGTGGGACTGGTTCTAACCTTCATGTCTAGTATCTTCTGGAAAGTGTCGGTGCTGCAGTCAGCAAGGAGCTTGATGTAATTGTCGACAAACACAACCGGGGGCTCGTGCGGAGCCATAACCACCTGCCAAGACAAGAAAAAAAGAGATCAGACAAGTTCTATGAGTTAAAGCCAGTTCTCAGTCAACTCAGGCACACGAGTGACAGCAGGACTGGCTTCTCCTAAAATAAAATGCTTAAGGAACAGCAAAGAGGCTGTACATGCTGCTAGTAACCGAGAGGTAAAGGTGAGTGAAGTAAAGTAAGGAGCAGGGAGGAGGACGGGGTTTCTTTCTACACAGCAGTGGTGCTTGGACCCAAGGGGCTGCCTATCACGTTTCAAAGAGCAGCGGGACTTTGTCTATATGCCTGTGGGCTGGGAGGCACTGGCCTATTGGCAAAGCTCAAGATTTTATCTTGTTGCATGGGGAAGACTAGCTGAGGAGTTGCTTGGGGGAGAAAGGCAGTGCTGGTGGTGGTGGGGACACTTAGAAAGTCCCCAGCAGATCAGGCAGCCTGGATGCAGTCCAGACCCGCACTTCGGCTGTGCATCCCTCTTGCTCCCTCCTGCCCGGAGCAGAGCAGAGCAGCGTGTCGCAGGGGAATCTGACTACACTCTGCAGTTACTCCCTCCAAGCCCAGGACAGCGTGGGTCCGAGCAACCTGCTTTGCAGTCCTCCTGCTCCTGACAACGAAACCTGATGGGTGAGCGGTGCCGCATGAAGCCGCTCTGTCCTTTGGGTGCAGCTCCTCTTGTACGCTTCTCTGGAGAGACTGGGATGCAGCATGTGAACCCCCCGCTGACTTCTGCCCCGGACCTCACACCCTCTTAGTCCCAGGAAAAAAAATTAAAATAGCCTTGAAGCTGGAAAGATGATTACTCATTGTTGTATTTTCCTTACATAAGCAGCAAGCTCCACAGAGAACACATTTTTGATAATGCTGGGCAGCAAACCCATCCTTCTGGGAAGAGTGTGTGTGCGTACGCAGGGCAGAAACAGCACAGGACGAGACTCTTCTCTGTCTCTGAAAACATTTCCATATGTTTCCATTGACCCAGCTCACCCCACACTGTATTCTGTCGCTGAGACATTTCTTTCTTTTCCTGCACTTCAGACCAATGAAACATCATAGCCATGTATACACTTATAAATCCTTAATTTACAGCCCTTGTAAAAATCTTCTGCCAAGATGAAAAGCTGGAACTTCAGACAGCGTAGCCAGAGGAGAAAGGAAACTGCTCTGCAGGACATGCACACCCTGACGCCCTCCTCCCCGTTTGCATCTGCACTTTGTAGGGCTTAGCTGAATGTATTTGTTTGTGCCATCTATGGGCTTAATGATGCTCTGGTATAATACTGAATTAGCTGCACTGAAATAAGCTCAGGCACGTTACTGTATGGTGGTATTGGCATATGCAACAGAGGCATCACTTCTGAACCATCTTGGTACTAGGTAGGAGAGCCCTGAAAACACCGAGGAGGAGCGTACTGTGCTTCTGATGGGGCAAAATAGTTCTTATGGAAAAGACTCTTTAATGTGCAGTTTGGAAACAGCAGAGAGAATCTGAGCACTGATAAAAAGAGACAACCCACAAGGCAAACAGAACGGCCAGAGATGACCAGTCAGTTCTGGGCTCCTGCAAGGAAACCTTCCTACAGAAATACTGGTGGTCCAGCAGGAGCAGGCACTTCCAAGAGCCTTTTTTCCTCTCCCAAACCCGAGAGATGGGTGCTGACACCAGCCCCAAACGCTGTGTGTGGGTTACCTGGGCTCAGGGTGATCTATTCAGTCGCTGTGATTAACAAACCTGCCCCAGCCAACCATTCAGCCCCATCACCCACTGATTACATGGGCATTATTTTGTAAAACAGCTCTTCGGAGCACTGAATGCCATAAGCGTATCGCTGCTTAATTACTAGTTACTGACACTGAGCCCTCAGTTGGGGCCAGCAGACGTGCTTTGTGCAGCAGCAGGGCAAGCACGGGATGTCTGAAAAAGCAGTCACGCTGCTACTCCACATCCTACGGACCAGCAGCACTCCACAGCCTGCCCGAGGCACTTCCAATACTGCTTTCATCTCAATCCCGATGAAGCCAATGTAATGTTAAGGGTAGACAAAGTAACTCCATTACTTTTCTGATTCACACATAAGCTCCAAGGAAAGACCTGTTTCTGTATGCAACAGGCACCAATCCTCCCTGCTCCTCTGTTAGCAGTACCAGGATATTTTTCTTCAGGTAATTTCTAAGAAAATTTAGACTTGCTTTAACATATCCACCAATGTCTCAGTCACCTTACTCCAAAAGCATGGAATTGCAGAACTAATTTCTGAATTCAGAATGCACACTCAGCCGTGACGTTACTTTGGGCATGGGAGCAAAGCCACGCTGAGCAGCAGGCAAGCACGCAGAGAGCCTGGACTCCGCACCCCTTCCTTGCCTCGGCTGCGGTTTACAGGAGGCTTCGGCTGGCAGCTGCCTCTCCTGCCTGACCCCAGGTCCCACTAATTCACTCACAGGAACATCTTCACGGCATTGTTGGTGAGCAGGGGACAATCCCATCGCCCAGGAGGGTACAACTGCACAGCTGCCATGGCTTCTCCTGGGATCAAACCTAACTTCTTACTCCGGCAACAGCGAGGAAGGGGAGATTGCTTTGCTTGTTACTTTTTATGAAGACAACACACTGCTTTTGGGTCATTTTCCAGGCACCAGGTCTGGAAAATGAAAAAGGACTCTGGTGAATACAGTAACCCAGACATGTTTGCACTGGCTGTTACACTAGACAGTAAACAGGTGACTCAAGCACGGCTTGGCTCCCCTGCGTGATGGAGTCTGCACAAAGGCCTGGAGTAACCTGAACTGGAGGGTTTGCCCTGCGGCAGACACTTACGGATGCTAGCTCTGATTTTCACAAGCTCCTGAGGGAATCTGGTGCCCCAACGCTCCTAGTAAGCAGAACTTGAGCCCTCGGTTACCTTGAAAAATGAGGATGAAAACTCAAATGCGATGTTAAAAAGAGCATGGGGGCAAACCCACGGCGAATAAGCCAGTTCTGTAGAACAGCTGGCAGCGCACTCGGACAAGCTCGCATACGTTCATGTGCAATTGCAGATCGCCGCATTCAAAGGAAGGGCCCCCTGGAATTCGCTCGCTCCGATTCCCAGTCCAGCAGTCTGGCTGGCAGATTATCAAAAGTCTTGAGTTACCTTCAGGATCATTTCAGCCCGAGTCATGCCTTTCACCACTATCTTCGTGTAGCTGGCAGGAGCCTTCCTCACCACTTGGGACCCAATGGAGGGCAGATCCAGGAGAACCATCTTCAGAGAGTGAGTGTCCAGCAGCAGCTGCAATAGTTAATCGCACCCTGTTATTCAGGTCCCTTTTACCAAGCTCCATTAGCTGCTATCATCCAACATGCTTAAAAGTTTAACACTTCCCACGTTGGAAAAAGTCCTGGTAATTGGACTGCAGAACAGGAGAGATTGACCCATGTAATGACACTTCAAGAAGACACCATCACCCGTGGCTACATATCAGCGCTGTCTGTTGATTTTAACAGAGCTCTGCTCTGCTGACTTGAAATGACTTATGGCAGCTCAACATCTGGCACATAAGGCATGGATTTCCAGTCCTCTTCTCCTCGACAGTATAAAGTGAAACAATCTCGATTACCTGTAGCTGTACCATTATTTAGATACTGAGGTCAAATGAATTAACACCATGCTTCCTCCTGCACCCAGCCACCCATTGTGTCAGGTTTTCTGCATTTACTCAACCACTTGCCGATTTATCTTTTTTTCTTTAAAAAGAAAACTGCAACACAATACAGCTACATTGAGAACTGCTCAATATGCTGTGCTCAGTGGCACACTGAAACTCACAGCCTGTATGCTGGTTTTTACTAGACCAGCGTCTAAATAAGCAGCGAGCAGCAGCCACGAAATTCAGCAAAGGCAGACAAGCATTGTCTGATGACAAAATGCTGTGGGTTAGGGTTTCTTAGAGCAAAATTACCCCAAATACCGCACTCTTCTGATTGCACGAGGTATGTTTAAAGAGGTGAGACAAGACCAGTGAAGAACAGAAACCTGAAATCGAACTAGATGAAGAGGAGCACAATTTATTTATACAGCAGTGAGTGTGAAAATCTGCTGGGCTGTCGGCACACCCAGTGCATTTCCTGCAAAAGGGCTCTCAGGAGCGGGTGAAACTCCTTCTGGAGCAACACACAACGTTACGGGCACTGCAGAACCCCCAGCAGTCACCAGAACAATATGAACATTTACGGTACAGCTTTCAGCACACGTGGGCATTCAATTCAAATACAAAGGACTGAGCCGAGGAGGAGGGGCGGTGGGTCACACCAGTTCAAATCTGGACCCTGTTATCTGCGGCAGCGTATCATTGCTGTGTGCTGCCTGTTTCATGGTTTGCATGAGATGAACCGATGCCATCAATCTTGTCCTGGGAAGTCAGGAAACTGCAGCACAAACAAGCAGCTCTGTGCACCCCAGAGCTGCTGGAGCCTGATGTCTGCTCAGGCTGTCATAGCTGGATTCCTGCGTGTCTACGAGGGATCCCATAGATGGAAGATTTTTCCACAGTTGGGGAATTCACATCTTTCCCACGTAAACTCTCTCGTGTCTAACAGGAGTTTTGCGCACTCTGCAGCCTTTCCCACAGGCGCAGCACTCGCAGGCTCTGTCCCCTCACCCTGTTTCCCCCCGTTATCCATCCCAGGTCCCTGGCATTGCTAACTCACCGCCAAAGCTTGCTGAGATGGAGAATTGTTGTTAAGTCAGAGACACAAACCCACAGAAAGTGAAACCCCATAGGTCTCATTCCCCATGCTGAACACCTCCGTAAATACCGCCCTAGTGTCCAGATTTCAAACATGAATATGAGCACACAGCAGGAAAACTGTGTTTAGGATTGGGAAGGCCAGGAAAGCATATTCCACAGCAACATTTGCACCAGGGGAGAGAAACCAGTGTGGAAAGATGCCGGTGGGTGACCAAGGGGGAGGGTTCAAAAGATGCTATGGCAACTGAGGACCTACATGCTGCAGAGACAGAGGAGACCAGCTTCTGAAGACCTCTATACATCTAACCCCAGGAAGGTATGTCCCACTTATGATGAGATACATTCACTGTGAATCAGGCTAATAAAAACCTCCCCAGTCTGCTTTAAAGAACCAAATTCAGCCTGTTATTTGAATACAGTAATATTAAAACTTTTTAACATTAGACACAAGCCCACTGCTAGCAACTGGTTAATCACTTTAGACGCTTATTTAAAAAAAGACTTCATTTAATCATTCTCAGGTTATTGCTCATCGCACAAGATGAGCAGGAACCATGCTTCACTCATTTGCTTTCCATTAAGAAAGAAGAAGGTTTTGATGTAAAGCTCCTGTTTCATTTTGCAGACACACACTGCTCAGAACCCATCTTTGATGCCTAAAACCCAAGCAGCTTTTAAGGCTTGATTTGAAGTTCACAGCAATCCCATTAGGGACAATTCTGCTTTTTTTTTTTTTTTTTAAATCAGCTCACAGGGGAGCAGCTGGATGTGCAGGGGACAGCTGAAAGCCTGCCTCATCCAAACCTCATCCCTGCAGAGCAGTGGGGTCCCAGCCCACAGGCAGGGGTGGGAGATGGGGGGTCACAGCCCTGCAGCTGCACCCAGGGGCTCAAGGTAATAAACACCCTGCGCTGCCCACCCACGTGCAACTTGGGGACAGGGGCTCCTGTCAAGGGGCAGAATTTCAACAGAAATGTGTACGTTAATTCAAGTGGCAATAATTCAATGTCCTTTCTTCCCTGAGATCATGTCTCACCATCTTGCAGTATCTACAGCTCTCAAAGTGCAACAGGGAGGCAGGTTCCTGGGGGAAAGCTGGGGAATCCTGAGCCCCAGATGATCATAGAATCATTAAGGTTAGAAAAGACTTCTAAGATCATCGAGTCCAACCGTTAACCCAACACCACCATGCCCACTAAACCATGTCCCTAAGCGCCTCATCTACACGTCTTTTAAATACCTCCAGGGATGGTGGTATTTACACCTTCCCTGGGTCGTCACTTCCCTGGGTCTCAGTTACTGAGTCGCAGAGGTGGAAACAGCTCTTCCCCACCACACAGCAGTGTTTTGAGGTGTGTTTGCAACGCCTGAGGAAGCGAGGCATGGAAGGCATTTATGCAGGAAACAAACTGTCCTGTCTTCAGGCACTGCAGCATCTCTCACCTAGTGAGATTCAAAACTCCCACCAAACCCAGGGCCTCCGTTCAGCAATTTTTGAGACAGAACAGAGAAAACACTGCACTACGCCTCCACAACCCCATCCTCCCGGCACGGCTCTGATGAGAGGAAGACAGCGGCCATCCATAACTAGCAGGCAAACTGGAGGAAGCAAAAATCTATTTGCGCTCACTGGAACTCAGCCAGGACACAGGCTCTAGCAAAACTGCCAACAGGCTGTGGAGGAGTCCCTGGGCTCCCATGGCTTCACTTCCTCAGGGAGGAAGGAGCCAGCACCTGGGAGCAGCGCACACAGACCCTCCGAGGATCCGGGGTCGCTTTGCTTGAGGTCTGGCACGCCGCCACCGCGGGCACATGGCGCTGAGCACACCCGTCACTGGGGAAGGCGCAGGAACCAACCTGCTCCTGGCATACACACCGTCATGTGAGACCAAGCACTGTGTGTGTTTTATGTTCAACAATTGCAAAAAAAAAATCTTGGTGTTTAAACTACCTGAGCTGAGAAACTGCCTGGACACATGGGTTTTTGGGTTGGGGTGGTTGTTTTTTTGTAAAGTTTTCCTGTTGTCAACTACGGGTTGACCATGCCCCAGCCCTTCTGAGCAGAGAAGCAATAGGCTTGAGTTTAACCCCAGGAGGAGGCACAGTGGCAGCACAAGGAGATTGAGTGATGACTTATTATATGAAAGGATGGGACAGAAAAACAAGTCTTTCTGAGAAGGACACGGGAGCTTCTTGCCATAGTTTCTGCCATGAGCAACGTTCTTTTCCTTAGCGTGCCCCGGCTGTACCAGAGATCAGGACACGTAACTCAGCTCTCTGTCCCTTTTTAACAAAAACTGCCTCGACTTCTTGAACCCAAAAGTGATGAAATATTACAGGCAATGCAATTACTTTTTCTTACCTGTTCTGCGCCCACCATGCTAATAGGTTTGCACTTGAAGAGATGGTTAATGAACTTGGGAATGAAGGAGCTGCAAAGAAGAGAGAGAAAATGACACAATTACATGTGAGTCTTGGGAGTCATACAGTCTTCTGTGGTAACAAAGCATGCAAAACAAACCAGGATGGCTTTCCACATAGACACTCTAAGTGCCTGGTTCTCAAGCTGACTCCAGCCATATTAAGTGTCCTAAATAACAAACAAACCAACCCCAGGTACAATTCCTTTGCTTTAATCCATACTGACCTCCAAATTAATTGAGAAGTTGCACACATACTCCATGTAAATAAATTGCTATAAACTATACGTGAAGTATTACAGTACAAGGTCAAGAACAAGCAAACAAACTATTGTACATAATAAAAACAGCAACACGCCAGGATTAGTATAGCTATTCACAGAGTGGAAGTATCTTGATTGTATCCAGAACCTACATTTTACTGCATACAAGTAATTCCATAACACGCATATTACACACTGAACTTGAGGTCCAGCCAAGGCTGGAGGTCTGCTGGGCCCTGGACACTCACACAGAAAGGCACTCTTCCAGAAAGCTTCTGGCCAACACAATCAAGACAAGAAAAAGTTTTGTGAAAAGGAAAACACCATTACCCTATTTTACTAACGTGGACTTCAGACTCAGAAAAATGACTCAGGTACATATACTCAACCGGGGAGAATTCAGCAAGGATGGAAGCCCAATATTCGCCATCTTGGACAACATATTCCAGAGCATCAGCTTCGGTTTTAGTTTTTTGCTTCTTGATTTTAGGCTTTGCAGTAGTTCCATTCTTCAGTGGAGAAGCAGATGCTCCCTCCTAGCAGAAGCGCTGGCTGAGCACCTGCAAGACAAGCGCCTGCCCCACCTGCTCTACCAAGGTGCAGCACCAGGAAAACTCAGGAGCTGAACGCGAGGAGAGGGGCCAGCGTGAGCAACACAAACTCCGTCTGTCAGGAGCACACCACTCATCATCTTGTCTTCCTTTTGGTGCCTTGTTTTTTAATGTACTCTGCTTCTTTCACACGGCCTTCTTTGCCTGAATGCCTACAAGGCTCACGTTTGCAGGACCTTGTCCATGACCTGGTGGCAGGTCTTAGATTTTAATGGCTCTGTCCTAAGTTCATATAAGTCAGGCTGTTCTCTGTCCTTTTGAATGAGGTGACTTTAAGGTGATGATCTAAATTCAGCATGGTCTCCCCCTTGCATCCGTCAAGTTACTTGTTTCCTTCCCACAAAGCAAGGAGCGTGGACAGCATCTTGTTTGTCCTGCCACCTGTTTTCCAAGCCAGGACGTTTATTTTCTGCCCTTTCTCATGGAAGAATAACAAAAGTGTAACTCAGGCACAGAGCATGCCAAGCTGCTAAGCAAATCAAAAGAAATGGTTCAAGGAAGAATCCTTCCAAGTGAAGGCTCCTTCCCTTCCCCTTCCCTCAGACACAGCCACGACCTCTCTCAGTGAATCATCTTTTCCTGGAGAGGCGTCAAGGAGAACAATTTCAAACTACTATTGAAAACCAGCTACTGGGCTGCCCCAAACAGCTTTGAATTTGGCCACCAGAGAAACAACCTTGGCAACAAAATATAAATAAGAGGAGGAAAACAAGCCCTGTCTCCTCTTGCACGAAAGCGTTACAGCAGAGATGTAACTTATCTGTTTTAGAAGTCCATTTTTCAGGTGTATAACTAATTCCCAGAGGGCAATTAGAGCATGCCAAGCACAGCTGGAGCTTAGTTGATCCTACAAAATGATCAATCCACTCTGGATGCAGCAGCTTGCTACAAGCGAAGAGCACAAGAGATTAATTGTACCTTTGATCTTGCACATAGGTCCAAGTCTCCCTCTCTCTGTAAGGTCAGGCGTGGAGCTAATGCTCGTGTTGTGCACGAGAAGCAGGGCGAGCCTTTCTTTCTGCAGGGTGGCAGACCGGCAGCCAAAGGACCCCCTCCCCTCTTTTTTTTTATCTTCTTTCCTAAGTAACCACATGGTCTTCCATAGACAGCATTCTGTCTTGAATGAAACAATTCCCAGGCCCCTTAGGATGGCCACCCACAATCCATGCAGAAGGGTAAAGCGACCTTCCATCCCCACATGCCGATTATTTCACGCTGCCTTATTGGAAACAGCTTCTCAACTCCAGCACGACAGACAAGACAAACCATAAGATCCAAGGGCTGCTGTGGTATTTTTTTCTTTTTTTTTTTTTTTTGGACTAGCAGAGACCATCAAGAGCAGTTGCATTTAACTGAAAAATTCACTTGAGTCTCTTGCCTAGGCTGGACTCAATGCTTGGCTCTCTTAACATACAGCAGGCAATCCCGATGTGAATAATACGTGCGTATTCAATGGTAATGCTCTGCAAGCAGTTTTGTACTCTAAATGCCTTTACTCCCTGCACATCCACAGAGCTAGATTGGATGCCAGAATTCATTTACAGTTTCGGCTATAAATCTGAATCCAGCAAACCCTCCATAGAAGCAGACAAGTCCCCAGTGTAATAATAAAGCAGTGCAAGACAGATTAGGAACCTAAAGCACAGAAACCACAGCATCTGAGAGGCTCCCATCCAACGGGAGTGGCTCTGCCAAAGCCCGTGTTTTCCTAATCCCCTGCGCTGATGATGCATCAAACACAATGCCTTGCTAAGCAAGGCAGACGGAGGTGCAACCACAGTACGTCTGTCCGACGGGAGACGAGCTATAACAGGACATCATTCAAAGCATCCTGGTGTCACTGAGTCACTGCAGCTGAGAAGGGTTTTGCTTTACGCCACCCTCTGAGGCGGTGACCAGCCCTTGCAGGCTCGCCCAGGCTTAGCTCAGCCACTGCTTCGAAACCTCCAGGAGCCTCCTCATCACGATCTTCTTCCACCTAACTCCTCTCACTAAAAGCACGATGCAAAGGCCAGAGCAACTGGGAGGACGCCTGCTGCAGTTACCCACCACGCTTGGCTCTTTGTGACGGACAAGGCGCTTTTCTGGAGAGGGGGAGAGCTGTTTGTTTTTCCTGTCTCTCAGTTCTAATCTCTTCCTCATTGAGGTCAGGTCACAGACTTCCCAAACACATCCCGGCATAGCAGACACGGCTTCACTGCTACGGTTTTCAATTTCAAAGGATAAGGACCGAGGTGCAGTGAACAGAGCCCCTCACGCTGCCTGCGAGTGCCTCCTGGAAAGCCGGCTGCTTCTCACTATTTCAAGGGAGTGAGGGTTGCATATTGGTCAAAACAAAGCAAAAATGACAAATTAGGTTAGAGGATTGATGCAATTTCTGATGGCCATTTTTCTTCTTCCAGAGTTGGCTCAGATCCCTCAGTTTTAAATTTAGTGACTTTAGATGCCTTCTCCCCTGTGGTCCTGTAACTCAACACTAGTGCTTTATACAATCCATTAGAGCTGAGAAGCGGCTGGCAGTTCAAAAAGGTGCAGGCATTAACATACAGAGAAGCACAATGCCTGTTAAAAGAATTTTCAGTGTTGTGGCGCACACAAAAGGCCAGGCATTTATAGTGGGCAGGCCAGCATATTCCGTAAGAATTCAGAGCTTCAAAAATACAAATGTTTGTATGCGTCAAAATGTCATAAGCATTTTAAGTGCACCCTTACCACTGGGCTCGTTCTCCTTAAAACCAAGTTGTACAGAAGGACTCTAAATATGATCCGGCAAAAACAATCTTCAGGAACCAAATTTTCACTTCCACACTTGATCCACAGCACAGTGAATTCAGGACTGTGTCTTAATTTTAATGTGCTGTAGATCAGAGCTGTAGTTGTATTAAAAAGGTTTTGAAGCGGAGTGGTAGTTTTGCAGGTCTCTCTGCTCTTCTATGGAACAAGCTGTGATGAAGGCACTCAGCTTAGATGTGAACTTTTCTCAAATATGAGAGCTGGGTATTTTATCCGGAGTTTACTTGGTATGTGCTTAGCAATAAAGTTGAAAGGGAGGCAACTAAGCTGAGGTATTAAGAGTGTGCTGTGAACAGCTGAGTAAATGGGGTTTGTTATTTATCACCGTGTTAGCGATACAAAATTCAAGCATAACCACATAGAAGGCTTAAGTGCAATAAATTTTCACTGAGACAGCATTTCAAACAGTGATTATGGGCAACGTCATAATATGATTTATCAGTAACTGCTCCTTAATGCAAACTAATGAGTACCCTGAGATAGAAAGGGGGAACGAAATTCTCAGGCCAGCCTCCCTGCTGCGAAAGCTAACGGTTCTCAGGAGAGCCTGCTGCATCCTTCCCTGCTGAAGCAGGAGCTGAAGCTCCAGTCGCAAACCCACACAATAACTGCCAGGCCATACAGTTTATTTCAGGATGATTAGCTTATTACAGATGAATGAAACGTTAAGGTATTTTAGAGTGACACATGATATGCATGGTACTGCTCCCAAGTCTACCAGCATAGTCACGTGCAACACCAAAAGCAGCAGCTACCCTGGTAGAGTCCTCCCGAGGGTTTTTCTTGGGGTATTGGCATGCAAAGCTCAGCTGGCCATAGGCAAGCAGGGAAGAGTTCAAGTATCTTCCCAAAGAACTGAATTTTTGTTTCCGACACATAGCTTCAAAGTTTGGATGTCCAAGAGATGCTGGAGAGCTGCACCCTCAACCCTGAATCCAGAGGCAAGGGGAATTTCTGTCTCACCTTCCAGTTCTTTCATGCTGCCCAACATTAAGTGACTTGCCAGGAAGACACTCGTAATACCCCCAAAATCTTAATGTGTATTTCCCCTCCCTTACTTTTTGCACAGAAAAGTAGCTTTTAAACGGTGAAGGTAGAATATACTCATCACACATACCCTCCTTATAGTGCTATAGCTATTATAAAAGTTATTTTGAGGCAAATGATGCATCAAATTTCTCAGCACCTGGAAGCACCTCAGCCTCTTATCACTGGAAGGAAAGTAGGTTCCCATAGCAAGAGTCGTGTCTATATTCAGACATTCAAAGCCTTTTTTAGATGTCCAACCCCAAACTTTCTGTACTTGGCAAACAGTGGACAGTGATCATCACAATATTTTATGGGATGGTTTAGGCACATGAAAAGGAACGAATCAATACAAATGTCTGAGAAAATCTGCCTTAGCAGGAAACTTGAGACAAGAAATTGAAGTATTTTTTAACCTTGCCAGCAGCTGCTGGTTTGCTGCCCTACCCCACCTCCCTCTGTGCTCTCCCTGGACGGAGAGAGTCTTCACCCAGACACCGAGCGCCGCTGACGCTGCACACCAAAGGCAAATAGACTATCACCTACAAACAGACGAGTGAGAACCAGAGACCCCGAGAAAATCTGTGCCGTGTTGGTAACTTACTTTGCAAATTTTATACAGAACTGAGTGAAATACTTTCTTGTGGAGGCCAGATTGTCACGGATGATGGGGACGTTCTGTTTAATGTGGAGAATCACTGAGGTGACATAAGGACTCTGGTCACCAACGTGTTCCACGTTCTGCCACTGCATCTGCACAAAGGGGAAAAAACAACCAAAAAGACTGTTTAACTCATTAGGATTCATGCGATAGCTAAGGAAAACTGTAGAAACTTCCTGCCAAAAGATCTCTAAGGAATCATGATGAGACTGCCTTTGCAATTCACCACCAAGGTCAAGTTCTTCGTCGCTATACTGATTAAGCAAAACCCTTCCACAAGAAGATACAAAGAAAACCCAGAACAACCCTTTTTGCACCAGAGCAGAGAGAGATTGTGACCGGTAACCTACACAAACTGGGACCACCAGGATTAAAAAGGCTTTTGGAGCATGCCAGGCCGCCTTAATATTTAACAGTTTCCAGTTTGCCGGGATGAAGTGCCCATATAAATCCTGATTACAGGCATTTGAGAAAATATCTGCAAGCTTGCAAAGTCTGGATTCCTGTATGGCAGCCAAGACTTTAATACTGGTGAGACTGATGACAGATAGATGGAAGAGGCAGGAATACTCTTAAAGTCCAAGGCACTCCACACCAGCGTAGCTCACACTGAAAACACTTCTGGTGTACAAGCTAGGATGCCAACTTCAGCTCATCCCAAACACACGTTAAAAAAATACAAAACAAGATGAGTTACTCAACCTCCCATTTTGTTTTCATTTACCGTCAGCAGAAATGCAAGAGAATAGCCCCTGTGAGCCAGATGTGCGACTCCCTTGACTTTCTCTAAGCCTTATTTGCAGCACACAGGGAGTACTCAGTCTAAGTAATGTGGAAAAAAAAAAAAAAAAAAAGAGGTAATTGGGTAAGGCCTGGCCAAGCATCTGTGTATATAACAAAGTCTCACTGAGGAACACGAGCATCCAGAAAAGTGCTCTTAGCTCTGCTACTGTTCAGAGACTACGCACTCCGCAATGTGCTCCAACTAACTGTTTGGAGATGCTGTTCCTCATGCTGGAGATGAAACAGGAGGAAAACGGATATGAAATCAGGATAGGAAACTGGGCACATGCAGAAGATGAGCTTTTTCTTTTGAGGGCGTGCTTGTCCTCAAACTTGTTTTCTCAAGTTCTGGATATTGCATGTGAAGTTTTTTATTCCTGGTTTTAATTTAATTACAGCTACTTTGATCACTGCAACCCAGCTGATTCAATTCCATTCAAACAACATGCAGCCTAAGTGACTTAATGGGCAAGAGAAGCCAAATTCTTTGCAAAGCCACAGTGTCTTAGAGAGTCTACACGTGTCCTACCAAAGCTGTCTTTATTTAAACCAAACAAACAAAATCCCAACTTGCTCATCTCGCATCACCCACGTAGCTACAAGGGATATCTCTCTCATCACCTGCTCTACAGGTTTACATTCCATCTTACTTTCGTTTGGAGATTGCTCAAGAGACAAGTGCTTTTCTACTCCTCATGGTACTTGTCATATCCAAAGAAAATACTTCGTGCTTGTCTCCCTGACGGACTCACACATTCCCAGCGCTGGCCCTTCTTGACAGACAGCGATCCTCAACGAACAGACCATCCCCACATAGCGGGAATGGCCAGCAAGCAGGAAGGGATTGCCGAGTTGAATTATTGCAACAACAATAAAACAGTAGCTTTTTCATTTTGTTGGTCTTCATTCCAAAAGCAATACTTTACAACCAAACCTTTAAAGCATGAACAGTAAAAATAGCCCTTTGTGTATGTGTGTGGGTGTGTTTCACCCAAAAAAACCCCCAGTAGCTGCAATGAAAGACATAGTACACATACTGAAAAGTCATCAAAAGAAATATGAGCCTGACTCTTCTGGTAAAGCTTTGTTCCTGTCATTTTAAATTTATTCCTCTTTTCCCCTCGTCCTATGTTTTTCTTGGGATATCCACATAGTTTACATACATAAGCTGAAAATGAGCCCAAAGAACAGGCGCAGCGAGGCCCCGTGCTCGCCGGCCAAAGGGAGAAGCCCAGCGCTCGGGGCGCCCCGGCAGCAGCCGAAAGGCACCTGCACGCTGCCAGGACACGGGGTGATGCGGCCGCCTGCAAGGCCAGGACCTGGGTTTGAAAACCTGGTGCTACCTTCAGAGATGGTTTTTACAACAAAACCACAGGACCCTCAAGATTTTAGGGTGCCTTCTTAAAAAGGAGAGAAGAAGAGAGAAACCCTAAGCAAAACTGGGGTGGTTTGGCGCGTAACGAGAGCTGCACTATCTTCTGGGCATAGCGGGGGCTCAAGAGCATCCTGGGTCTGCCCGGCTGTGGGTCTCCATGTCCCCACATGTCCCTGTGTCCCCAGAGAGCTCGAGTGGGGTGGCAGGGCCAAACCAGGAACCACCAGGTCCCTCCTCCATGCCCGACACTGACATGGGTCTCTAGCAAAAGGGATTTCTTTGTGATTTAACGGAGGATGAATCAGTTCCAAGTCTCCCTGTGCTCAGTAGCATCCCACTGCCAGCTTATCGTTACAGGCTCCGGACTGAGCACGGGGAGCATCCGTAACCACCGGGCCAGCACGTTCTCCCTTGACCTCCTGTCGCTTACGCAGGAAGAGGTGGGAGGGGAGAGGGAAGCCAGTGGGTGCTGCAGGTAGCAGACATTGCTGCCTTTGAAACTGCCTCCGTTGTTTTCTGACACAAGTTTTTGGTTTGCAGTGTTGCGTGCTGCCCCTTCTTTGAGGGCTAAAACGCACTCACGCTGACTTAATTAGCAGCTGGCAGCTCTGATTGTTCTGCTCTCGGGGCTTTCCTTGTATGTATTGGAGAGATTATTAGAGCTCCGTCTTTAAGTGCCTGCTGTTGTCCACTCGGTTGTAAGGAAGTAGGAAATTGCAGCTGTGCCAAAAGGTTTTAGCAAAATATAAAAAACCAGCAAGCAATCGACATGAGTCACTAAAATGTCCCCCAGCCCCACTTACAAGCACAGTTTTACATATAAATCGATGCTTAATTCAGCAAGTAAATCAAACCTTATCCAGTGCAATCCATAAACTTAATTGAGGCAAAAATATCCCATGCAAATTAGCAGTTCCCTCATCCCAACAATTAAAAATAAAGCACACCAGGCAATTTAAGCGCCTGCTACAGATCAGTACAACACATTTACAGTACTTTGTTATCCAGAATATGACAACAGGGGTTTAGGGCAAATTCCTCTCCCACTCCACATCCCAGCTCCCTGTCCTACAGCCGTGTTTAATAATTTTACACCTGCTGTAGAGTTTGAGCAAAGATTATTACCTACAAATTTGGTAATATAGGGCCTTCTCATAATTTACCATTTCTTCTAGAACACACAAGGTAAATAATCAGGAAACTGAGCACCATTCCCAGCTGAAAGCAATATTCACGATGCTGTTTTCTGTGTTAAATCTCTCAAAGTGGCCGGCAGCCAAAGTGGATTTAGAGGTTTAAGTATTTCTTAATTTACCTCTATAGTTACTGAACTTTTTTGCACGGGAAAAAAAAAAAAGTCAGACTCCAACAAAGGACTGGGAATGTTGGATCCTGGAGGACATCAGAGTGAAGTAAATGAAAAGAAGCTAAATAAAGGAAGAGCCCTAATGGAGTAGGGGTCTTGAGACAGACATGCCTTCCCACTACAGGAGAATTGGAATGGATCAGGCACACAGTATTTACTCCTTTACTAAAGACTCAAATTTTACATGTCCAAATACTAACTCTGCGTTTAAATAATTACATGCATTTATTTTTCACGTGTCAGAGTAATAACCCAGCCCTGAAAGAAAGGGAGGAGGAGGGTGAAGGAAAAAAACTCTTGCACCAAACCCAGGTCTAGTAAAAATCACGTAACAGCAACTCTGTCCGATGCAAATAGCGGAATGCGTGCACAAGTGACAAGTATTTATTCAGCTAATTTCATAACACTTAGCTTGTTTATATCTCATCAGTCCCATCACATGTGCTGCATTTTACCAGTGTTCCAAAGACAAAAATAAATGGCCTACCAGCTGCTGCTTTCTCAAGGTTGTGGTTTACTTGGGTACAAACAGTCAGAGCTAAGGGAGTCAGATACTACTATGCTACGTCGGTTCAGGAGGAGATCTAAGGAACTGTCATGGCACACACACAACACCTGAAGTGCTGAGCCCTTCCTAACGGTGTTATTTTACTGGGCAAAAAAATCCTCTTTTCATTTGGAACATGTATAAGCTCTGTTACCAGCTGCATTCCACTTCAAATATTAGCTGGGGGTGGCAGGGCTAGCTACAGCTGGAATACATCATCAAGCAGAAAGCTATTAAAATTCATGGCAGTGAGACAATGTGTTGATCCTACAAAAATGAAGCTCTACGTTTAATATTTCTAATTAAAAAAATAGTTCAATCCACTTTTGTTGTCTTCACCTCCGTCTAAAGCAGTCTGGGTTTTCACAATACTTTGGCAAGAAAACACAGATCTGCATTTCAAACGTATAAAAGCCAGCAGTGTAACTGCAACAAAATCCTTAAGCACTAATCACATGGGCCTCTCTAGGAATGGCTCCATATATCCTTGAAAGGATCACAGAAGCAATAGGGCCCAATCTCAATTCCATATTACCCTTTGAGTACCTCCATTTAACAGCCACAAACAAGCAGGCTAGTAAAAGTCCTTGTCAAAGAACACAAAGAGAAGAGCAGCAAGAAGGTGTATTTGAAATTTCATGCTAACAAAAGCTTTCCCAATTTTAAAGACTCTCACTGGCGTTAGGAGTGGAAAGAGAAATCCTTAGATACTTGCAGAAAGTATTTTATTATCCATGTGTTTTAATGTGCTGCAAAAGAATGAACGCTCTAATCTGAATGATAGGAGTTTTTGGAGTGAAGGGTATATTTATAACGACAGCAATTAGTGCTCTAAGAAGCAAGAAGAACTCAATATATGGCTAAGTCTCAGGGCAGCGTAAAAGGATATGTCAACAGTGAAATCAAGCAATCAAACAAGAACTCCACATGGATCTTAAGGCTACCTCTTCCTGAAACAAACCCATCCCTACCTTGCTCATAGCAGTCAGGGCAGGGTCACAGGCTACATCCAGGTCCTGCACTAACAGCTGTATGCTGTTGGAGATCACACTGCAAAAGAAAATCAAGCACGAGTTTTAGAATAGTACTCAGCAACACAGTGCCAGAACTGGCGTATTTGACTGCAAAAGGAGGAAAATCATCTACTAGCCAACAGTAGCATTATGCTGTGAATACACATGGCTAAAACTTGTACTGAAAAGAAGCCGGGAAGTTCTGCGTGCTGTTCATCAGGGAGCTACACAATGGGCTTTAGCGTAGAGAGGACATTTTTATAGTTGACCTTTCTCTGTTTTGACACATAGAACGGGTTGGAGATCAAAGGTGTCAGATGGGGTAACCCCCTGCCTGCACATCAGGAGGAGGAGAAACCCCCGAGTACCGAGCCCAGACTGGGATTCGGCTTCAAATTTAATCTGGTCTGCATAAATCTAACATTTTATCATCTCTCCACTTATTCACAGTCAATATTCAACTACTCACAGAAACCTGCAAAGAGGATTTTAAAAAGTACATCTGTATGAGTTCTGAACGTGTCTCCCATTTGAGAAGATGAAGGCAGATGTCTTATTTACACTATGTCTAGGATTGCCGCCATCCATTGTTTGAGTTTCTCAGAGACATATACCAGACTGAAGGACACATTAGTCAAACACATTTCCCTCCCTCCCTTTTTTTTTTTAAACAGCATGATATTGCTTAGAGACATATTTGATGCCACCATACTATGATGTGCATAAAGGTGCAACTAATCCTAAAACAGCCGAGTAACACTGTCTGCAGCAACTCGGACCGCCCTAAAGGGCCCGTAACCCAGGACTCGCATTACAGACAACTTCTGCTAGAACAAATAAGTGACTGTGATTCACTAAGTAAGTAGAGTTTTTAAAAACAGTGTAAACTTTAAATGTGCCACAGATGCCTGTTTACAACTTCTTATATATTAAGAACTGGATTTTACTTTTACTCTTTCTCATGATGCTAGCACAGATGGGAATCACAGATCTATAAGAAATCTGACCAGTGCTTCCTCAAACCATCTTTCCTCCCCCTCGTTGTCTTCGTGCAGTTCTGGGTACTACTCTGGAGTTCACTGTTCAAAAGTTCACTGTTTTTAAGTGTTTAAGTGTTCACTGTTTTTTCACTGTTCACTGTTTTTAAGTGTCCTCATCAAGATATGGTATCACCCACTCATAGCTGCTGCTGGCATCCGGGTGTTGTTCTTCACCGCAACCCACAGAGGCTGTCTATTCCGTTTCCTAGAGCCCTAGCACATAACGACCGGAACAGGATGCAAGTAAAAGACTGTTCCTTCAGAGCAATTAATTTGTTTGTAAAGGCAAACTCATCCAAAATTAGTTGGAAAAATTAATATGGGAGATGAAATGACCACTGGCTTCAAGTTACATGATCTGAAACTTGCACTGGGATAAAAAAAGCCTGTGACCGTTTCTGCTGGTGCCTCTGCTTCTGCTGGGCACTACAGGATTTACTCCCTTGGGGGATTCCACCAGCGCAAGCGATGCCAAGGGAGCCGGACCGAAATAACTGTCTCTTGGGCACAGCTGACTCCTGCAGGGCGCCTGCTGGCAGCGACCTGTAGGAAAGAGTTGTGGTTTAGCACCAAAATGAAATGCAACTCTCTCAGTGGAAGGAAAGTGACTTCAGCACCAGTCTCCGCACGTCAGGAGTCTGTCTGAAGCTGGGTGACCAAGTACAGGTTCTCGCCTGAAAACCACAAGACTGCAAAAAGGGAGAGAAACTTATTTGTCTACGCTTCAAAATAAACACACCTGCTGTAGAGGGGTAACGGTGCAGCAAGAAGCGTGTTGCAAATGCATCATGACACATCAACAGGGTTTGGATCCTGGTTCTGCTAGAAGCCACTTCAAACCTTTGCCCCGGGCAGCACAGAACCGTACTGCAGTGGCAGTTAATGAATCCTCACACAATCCCTGATAGATACACAGAAGCTGATAGACCAGGAAGCCGAGGCCGTAAATGATCAGTATAGTTCTAGTATAGTAAGTTCTTACTATAGTAAGTTCAACGCTCCAGGCCTTCCAGGGGTCTCTGAATGCTGCCCATAATCTCACAACAGATCAATAGAGCAGGGGGTGGGAATCATGGATTTCTGGATTTACAGGACAGTAATTTTCCTCCTACTGAGCTTCAAGAAGAGCTCATTATCTTTTCCACATTTCCTAAAGAAAATGCTTAGCCACCCCAAGGGTAAAACCCCCCGAGCTGATCACTTTATATGCGTTTGGGGTGGTTCTGCACTCTCCTTTCTGCAAAGGAAGAAACACTTTTCAGGGTGTGTAAGCAGCAACGTTTTACCACTTTCTTTACGACCATGCCTAAATCCCAGAAGAAACAACTTGTTTGATGTTGAATGAGCAAATGCCAGAGAGTTTTATAGCTATGACTTACACTGACAGAAGACTGGACAAAGCACTATACTGGAACAGACCGAAAGTCAATTAAAAAGCCTTTGTTACAAGATACATCAGGCCTGTCAGTTTAACTTTAAAGCTGTCCAAAACAGCAAACGTGAGCTATACATTTAAACAATTTCCAAAACACATCATATTGGTTGCCTACGACCAACCACCTTGTGAGGCAGCCACTGTGGAAACGGAGCAGCGACTCAAGGCAGCTGGCTCCTGCCGGACAGGTCACAAGAAAACACAAAACTCAACCCCAACTTGTCCATGTTAACAAAATCCCACCATATGGCATATTTTATTTCTACCGCTCAGCTACCTTGCTTGCTTTGGCTTAGTGGAGACAGCAACTCTAGTTTTCGGTCAGGGATTCACTCTTAAAACGGTCTGAGAATTATCTAAAGGGAAGGGAGTCTCTGCATCCTGGAATGGAGCCTGAGACCATTGAAAAACCTGGATGGAGATTCAGCAACCCACTGGAGCAAAAGAGGAGGAATCACAGTAAGTCTTGTGAAAAAAATCTTACTGCTATCTGGGCTGAATCTTAGTTTTAAGGAGAAGGAGAGCTGGTGATAGGGATTATTTTCCCAGCTTTGGCAAGGTTTTCTTTTGTCTGATGTGAGGCAAAACAATTATTTTTTTGCCTCCATTTCCTTCTCTCAAAAAATATTCAATGTTTGTCAGTGGTGGAGAGGAGAGGATGTTAGAGGGGAATATATTTAGCATCGTTACATGAAAAGTTATTTTAATGAATGATAATCTTCTCTCAATTATAATCCCCAAATATAAGATCGGATCAGTCTTTTATGTCATCTGAAATGGGGTTTGATCATACTGACAAGGCTGCTGATTAACAGTGGGAAGCTAAAGCAGGAAGGAATGTACTGAAATAGCTTCCTTTCTTGAAATGTAACAGCCACCTCACAGAGCTGCCAAGATGCAAATGATGTTTCAAATGGAAACTCACTATTTCCTTTCCCCTTTCCAGTGCTCTTGTTCCTTTGGCCAGGACGATGGGGAACAACTACATCTGAAGTCTGTACTACCGCTGCTCTTGGACTAGCCAAAGGATGACCATTCCTTCACCAGGGAAATGCCTATGCCTAGGCTGCATATCTGGGTGGGTCCTACTGCTGGCGGGGTCCTACGACACTGGGATCTTGGGCTTGTATTACTCCAGCACCATCTGGCTGACAAACTAGGATGTTTGATATATTCTGGGAGGACGCATCTGCTGAACATACATGCTGAAAGTGTCCATCTCTCCCGTCAGGTTGATTCTCTCCACTAGACTTGCATCCACTTTTTCTTTGAGTTTCTCTTCCAACTGTTAGGAAACAAAAGAAGCAACAGAAAGATCAGATTCCTTACTTGAAATGACCAGTCTTGAAAACTTACGTCCTGGAAAAGCCAGCTTCTTAAAACCTAATCTGTGCCCAGACTATATCCAAAACTCAGCCAATGAACAACAGGAATCTCTCCTTGTTGGACACCCTAGACATCTTGATCTGCCAGGATGGCCTATGATGGCACTGCGTCCTCAAAGTAGTAACCTCCAAGGTCATACATGTAACTCTAGCATGACATGCTAATGTACTAGCTTAACACTGTGGCACCTGTCCTGCTAATAAAGATGTTTTCCAACACCCTGTCTGTGCCCAAACTGCAGAGGAGGAGGATTGCCAGTTCTACGGGTGGAAAAGCCCTGATACGGCCAAACACCACAGCTCATCTACTAACCTATGGCATTTTGAAAGCACCTGAATGTAAGGAGCACTGTGGCTGCAAAGCATGTCAGCGTAAATACCTCCTCTCCTCACTCCACCTTGCCCTAATATTTCACGCAAGCATTTTCCCAAACCTATTTTGAGTTACTGTTTTTCTTGTTTTTATAAAAGGGAGATCATGAACCATGAGAAGAGTCTTTTTTTTTAATTAAAAAATAATCCAATCCAAAACAAATTATGTAACAAGTATAAAAGGATAGCATCCAAAACTGATGCTGCAAAGCAGGATTATAAGCAAATTACTTTTCTCAGGTAGAAACAGCAAAATCAATACTTTTCTTTTTTTGGAATATAGATTTAATAATGTAGAGCTCAATAATCAACGGGACGCTACATGGAGCAGACACTACTATGGATATTTTAGTACTTCTGACTTCCAGTCTCCACAGCAGGCTACCCTCGAAGGGGGAGCAGCAGAGCATCTCGCCACAGAAGAGGGGCTGCTGCTGGGTGTCTTCTCGGAGGTACTGTAGAGGAAAGGGAAAGCTCACCTGCTGGGTGGTTGCCAAGCAGTACTCTGCAGTACTAAGGATGCTGCAAATGAGGCAGAGTTCTTCTAAAGTAAACTTAGCCACTTCAGAGCCTTCCTTTTCTTTCAGCAAACTAGTGATGGTGAGCCCACCACTGCTGCTAGTTGTCCTGGAAAAAAAAAGACAAAACCTGTAAGGCTTTCAGGTGTACAGACACACACAATGCAAAATTACTACTAGATTTCAATGCTATAAAAAGCCCTTATGACCACAAAGTCCAATGTCCTGGGCATCACAGGTCAGTGTCATTCTACATCAAACCCACAACTGCTATTTTGGTTAAGGAATATCTTTTAGAAAGACAAACAGAACTCGATACCAAGTCTTCAGGAAAAGGACAATTCACTCATTCACGACATGGCGGCTTAGGATGCAAGTGGAATACAGCTTTCCCCAACTACCTTCACCTTCACTGCCAGTTACTCAAAATCTAATTAAAGATCACAGAAAAATCTCAGTAACTATCAGGCAGCTTGTCATATTTATCTTCTCAGTACTAAACAGATGTCAACATGCATTTGAAACTTTGGTAATCTGTTTTAAAAAACTGATGATAGCAACACAGTAAATTATAGAAGATGTGGCTTCTTTCCACCGTTTTCCAGTGATTAACGGCTGTGTATCAACAAAGAAAGACTCAGAACAGTTTAGAGTCAGGAAATTCCCTACCTCTCAACTCTTTATAATCCAAACCCATTAAAAAAAAATAGGACAGTGATATTTATCTTGGACAGCAAAAATGGAGCACACAAAAAAATGTGTATAAAGAATGCAACTGAGGTCTGATGGAGAATGCACATTAAATTTATCTTTCCACTTGTCTGGATGTAACACTCTCCCCTTACATCTGTAAAAGATTTTACTGGTTTCAGAAATTCATTCTGCTGCTCCCAGGTTTACAAGGGAAACAAACTGAAGATGGTAAATAGCATACAAAATTACCTGTAGTTAAGGCTGGCAATATCTCAAGGAGCTCCTTTAGCCTGTACACTTACCCATATTGGTGTAAACCCATAATGATTTCCTTTATTTTCACTGGATTTACATCAACATATTTTATTCATACGTATATAAAATGTTACAGAGCAGACGGAGTTACAGGTAAGCACTTTAGCATCACACAGATAAACCACCTTCATTAAAATTATTATATGTATAACGTTGAGCTAAGGCAGCTAAGAATCACAGCATGACTTTGTTACCCGAGTGGCAGGGTAAGTGCAATTCTGAAAGCCAGACCTCTGTGAAGAGACTTGGGCTGGCATTTCAAAATGAACTTCAAGAAACTGTAAATTTGACTGCTGATCAAAACCACATATGAAGCTATCCTCCAGGGGCCCTAAAAAGAAAAACAACGCCTGTGACTGTCCATTTGGTCTCTTGCTGTTTCTCCGTACAGCGAACTGAACTTTTGAGAAAACTGTGAAGTAAGTGTAGTCATATTGCTGCTAGATGGTTTCTTTGACAGTGAAACATAAATGTTCACAAGTATGTATTTATTAATTATCTTTACAAAGCATGTGCTCCTCACTGGAATGTCTCACCAGACGGTACTGCAGCGTTTGGGAAGCGAAACTCACTTGGGCAGGTTTCCAGACAGAATTTTCCAGGCGTATTCCCGAAGGTACTTCTGGAATATGGTGGTCAGGGCTATCATTGGCTCGCCTGTGCTGAGCTGGGAGCACTGCACCATGCACTTCTTGTAGTACACAAAGAGGTCGGCACAGCTGGGCAGGACGGCTCCTCCTTCGTCCACGTTGGGCTTGGGGGGACCTTGAGCCTTGAAGTCAGCCACAAACCTGTCAATCAGTTCACCGAGATTTCTGATGTGGGGGAACAATAGAAAGATATTTTAGTATGTTGGGGGAGGAAACAGAGGGAAGAGAGAGAATAATGCTTAAAACCAGATGCCCTGTCTTGTGACACCAGCAAACACATTCAGATTTTAGCAGCTGGGTATTCCAGCCTTTTCTTATCTCCACCCTCTCAGCACAAAGCTCACGCAATAACGCGGACAGGACCGATGAGTAACGACCTTTTGTACTCAAAGAGTTTTAGTGGCAGCTTCAATCTGTTCTCCAGTCACATATAAAAGCTCGCAGGTCTGCCAGGACTGGGTTCAGCACATTTGATGCAAGTGCATAAAGCATATGCTCAAGTTTCATTCCTGGCACCGGCAAAAGTAACAGTCGGGCTTCCCATATCAGCAGCCTCTGGAGCAGACCTCGGGGAATACGGCTTTTAAAGGGATGTGCTAAAAATGGTGTGCCATTTGCCTTTTCTTGGTCCCATTTGGATACCACCTGGTTTTGCACAACTTCACACATCCTTTAAAGAAGTTTTATTTCGCATGAGCGCAAAGTGCACTTCCTACTTAAACTCTTCTTAAAAGCACAAAAAGCCCTCCTATTGTCTCCAATGATTCATTATAACCTGGTCCTTACTCAAATATTTTGGTCTTTAGGCAACAATAACCTCCACTCCACTGTTTCATCACGAAAAAAAGGCTTTTTAGCATGGCAGAGGACCAAAGATGTCTTCTGATCTTGGGGAGTTCCTCTGGTCCTACTCCTCCAGAGACAGCACATCCGTGTCAGGACAAAGACCAGCCCTCCTGCCCGGAGCTCAGCTAAGTGGAGTAACCTTTGCCAGATGAACTCAATTACAGCAATAAACCTCCTCCCCCAGACGCACAAATACACGCATCCTGCCACAAGGAAGTTTGGCTTTTAAGGAATATATAGACATTTCAGATGGCAGAGTGGCACGCCGCTGACCAAAAGGAGTTGTGAAGTTCCTGTATTTTATATTCCCGTTTCCACTACGGTCTTGGCTCCACTTGCCCCACCTCTCCCCTTCCCTTTCACCGCTGAGGGTGTAACGGCTGTGCTGCGCCATGATCCAGGGTACCTAAGTAGAAAGCCAAATCCTCAGAAGGAGAATGGGAGAAGAGAGAACCTGAACTGAAACTCCCGCAAGAAACTGAACTATCATTTAAAAAAAAAGCATTACTTTATAGTTAATATATTATCATTATTTTTCAGCAACAGGCTTACTGGACAGAATTGCAATGCTGTCCATAGAAATGAAAACTTCTTTAAAAGCCTGTCAAAGAGTTTCAACTTGAAATGTTCTCCTAGTTCTCCTAGTCTTAGGCCAGCTCACAGGGTGCGCAGCCCAGTTCATGCAAAGAGGCTGCACTAGGGTCTCCTGGGATGGGTACGGCCTTACCGCCAGCACCAACGGCACAGCGGCTGCCACTCTTTAGCACGTTCTCACTTACCTCTGCCAACGAAAGGGGGGAAAAAACCCGCCAACGACAAAAACTTTTCCCCAGTTTCTGTCCTTTCTTTCTTTTTGTCTTGTGAAAGAGAAAAACCTCTCTGATTCGAGTTTACCAAAGAACTCAAAACGCTGCACAAGTGGAAAAGGTGGCCTGGCTCTTCCCTGATAAACTTACAGGCTGCTGCACCAAAACGGATGAGCTCCTACCACGGATGATCCGCTGGGCCAAACTAATCTACAGAAATGTGTTGGCAATATCAGGGCTTTAAATCATCAAGCAAGGTTCTTTGGCTTACGCTAGGCTCAAGGGCTACTGGAAAGACAAGTAGCCCCTTTTTTCATGCTTATTGCTTGCTGCTTTGAGTACTTTACAGAGCTCTGATTCCACATACACACACAGTTCCTCGGCTTTGTTACAAGAACTGTAAAAACATCAGGCTGCTCAACTGATGTGATAAATCTCTACACTGGCACGAGCAATTGAACGCTGAACCAAAGCATTGATTGTGTTCGACCACAGTGGAGCAAAATATACCTCCCCCCGTAGCTGTAGGAGAGCCAAGCAGATGGCTGCTGCAGGAGGGCTCACATGTGCTACGAGTGCTGCATTCCTTCAGGTCCTCGAGTAAAGCGGACGTGGCTTGCTCCTTGTCAAAAGTCCCACTAATTTAAACAGCTGCATTTCCACCTCTGCATCTGCGCTTTGCTCCATTCTGGGCAACAAAGCGGAGCTTTCTTAGCATTCACCAGCCACTGGTTTTTTTCATTCTCAGTCTCAAGACGCAGTGAGGAATGTCAATGGCTTTTGTTTCTTTATGCTTACTCCACATGTTCTCCTCTTCTCCAAGGCAAAGTGAAATGTATCTACATTTTACCGGTCCCCCAAGGTCTTGTCAACCAGGATGCACGAGCAAATGCAGCTGCCCAAAAGAGCTGGGAGAGCAGTGCTAGAGCTTCATGCTTGTTCTGATCCTAACCTGGACAAACCGCCCGTCAAAGGCAGGCCATGAGGACTGCTCTTATTTCAGCATGGGATTGATACAAGCAAAAATCAGGACCTTGTGCACCAAGGGAACTAATATATTATTAATGCACACCTCAGTCGATGTCAATCAAACTTTCACATTAGTCTCAGTTGGCCCGAATACAGTATGAAGGCTAACAAACTTTGTGTGATACAATGGGAGCACAAAGAATTTTGCAAAAAAAAGCTACTGGGAGATGAAACATGAAGGCAGGAGAGCTACAGAAAATGAACATTTTCTCTATATAGACTTTGCAAAAAAGCTCATAGCAAATTCTCTGGTAGCGCAGATGTGGCATTTCCTAACAGTAGCATATTTACTGGGAGCAAGAACTCTCCAAATCAAACCAAGAGAAAACACGAAGTGAAAGCTTGTAAAGAGAATTTTATTTTGGTTCTTAAATCCTTTCATTCCTCTACCCCTCTTCCTTTTTTCTTTCACTCAACCTATTCAGTGTTTTTTCTGCATCTCTGGCAATCACGAGAGGAACTAGGCAACTCCTCAGCAGCATGAGAGAAGAACGCAGGGCTTAGTCAGTCTGTTCAGTGATGTGAACAGTCAATATCAGTTGGGCACTGGGGAAGGGCAATGGCATTGAGACACCTGGACCACTTGCAGGATAGTTTCCATGGACTGGGCATTCTGGAAGCCCCTTGGCTCATGAGGCCGCAAACACACACCACAAAGAAAAAGTGCCAGTTTTCCGAACAATCAGAACGCACACATGCATTTTAGCACACTTAACCATGGCTCTGCATACTCTCAACACTGCAGACCTGACAGATCTCTTCCTTTACTCCATCAGAATGGCTTAGCTCACACGTGTACGTTGCTCTGACAGACCACAAAGAAGAGCTAAAGACACATATCCCAAAGGGGCAGAAATGAAACCTGCTTCGCTGTTAAGAAATCTGATATTTACACTGCAGCTAATAAGGGTGGAGAGCAGCATCTTTAAAGTCTTTCTTTCAGGTGTCTCCTCTTAAATTGCTACAGATTTTGGCACTGTGCTTCTTTAAATGGGTATGGAAACAATTTTTCAGGAGAAAAGGTCCAGGCTGCTTTCTGCCATAGACTTAAGGCAATGATGAACAAAACTGTCACACTACTCTCACTATTCAGAGCCCAAACATACAATTAATTATCTAAGCAACTCCTCATTTTCAGACATCAGCAACAGATTCCTCCAAAGTTCAATCAAAGGGGGAAGAAGAGAGAAAATCGTAAGGAAAGCAATTTTTGGCAGACAGGGGCAGCATGGGGAATACTGTGGCAGTTTTTCTTTGAACTCCTTGCAGCCTCTGGCTATAAAGCTAATATAAAACATCTCAGGATTGTAAAGGAAAAGGAAAAAAAAGAAGCAACTGAAAGGGCTAGGAGTGCAGTGGGGTAGAATTACCAAAACGGGGATTAAAATGGCCCCCAGTGAGAAGGGAAGAAATATTCAAACAAGTTAGCGCTCAGTGGGCTGAGGGTAGGGGAGGGAAATATCTGTTTCCCTTTGTTACACTGCAAAGCGGAACCTAAACCCAGCATGACAGACCATTGTGCAAGGTTTTATTTATTTATTTAAAGCATAAAAGGTTGATAGGACATGGGAAACCTTTTTCAAGATGGCTATCTTGGAGTTTGGACAAAATCAGGACACTACGAGCCTTGAGTTACGCACTCTCTCATGTGTAAGTCCTTGGAAGACAGAAGGACATAGATAGATGAGTTACATGAGGCAGGCACCTCTTTCTCCTTTCCAGCCACTAACCTGCACCAAAAGACTGTATTAAACCTTTTTCAACTATCTCCTCTCCCAGTTGGCACTGCAGTTGCTACAGAGATGTTATTTAAACCCTGGTGTGAATCAAGGTGCACAAGAAAGTGTGGTGAGAGCTCTAAAAACTTCTCAGAGCTCTACGCTGAAAGCTCCTTTCATTCAAGTTATTTTGCTGCAAGTCAAAGAGGAAGATGAAGAAGGGTTCTAGGGATTAAAGCTTCTGTCAAAGCCCCAATCTGTGAGCAATGATAATGTTATCTTATACCCAGCTCATCTACAGCAGCTTTCATCTAAGGATCTCAAATAACTTATTTCTATAAAGCAAATCTTGAAACTCCTCTGCCACGAAGCCACATGTGTATTTTACAGAAAAAGCAAACCTACTATTTGTGGAAGACATGAGACGAAAGAAAGGCGTATGTCTGCAGTGGGAATTGCAGAGGCAACAGAAGCAATTTCAGAAACACTAAGCCTCTTCCGCAGAAAGGCAGTGGGCATCATTCCTGCAGGCCTTTGCAATTACAGATGAAACCAACATCCACAGCCCTCTGGACGCTCATTTTTGCCCAAGCAAAGGTCCCACTCATTCTAACTTTCTTGAACCATGAGTACTGCTCCTGATGAAAGCAGAAAGCAGACTTTCAAGAAATTAATTTTCTGCAGCTTGAGTACAGAATCTAGTACAATCCAGCTGTAATTCACATTCAAAAGCAAACAGACCCAAAAGAGCATGCTGGTTACTCACTTGTCCTGGGACTCGATATACACATAAAGGTGAGGCTCAAAGCACTTGGAAACAATGCCATGAAAAGGATTGTCAGGGACCTTTGGCTTCTTTGGCTGTAAGAAAACATTTAGAGTGTTGGTTTCAAACCTGCCCTGTAAGACCTAGAAGAAATAGTAATGCAACAGCGCAGAAGGATATTAAGTCTTTAGAAATATTACAACACACTAATTTGCTGACAAATAATCAAAGGCATGTAATCAGCAGTATATACAGCGTCAGTGTGTCCAAGTCTTCCCTTGCTCTTCCAGAGCTGTTAGTATTCCAAGGAATTATCTTTGCTCTTGTAAAATATTCTTATCCTTAACGAGAAGGCTGCCCCATGCAAACAGATTTCAGTAGAAGAATCTTAATGCAGTTTGTAAATAAAACCTTGCTGAACTCTTTGAACTCTTCGAACAGTAACATTCATTTCAGAGGAGACTAGTGCAGCAGTTATTTGGAAGCAACATTGAAAAATCCCTACAGTTTAGAACATTAAAAATAATAACTCAAAGTTACAGACTTCATCTGGATGAATTTTATTTAGATAAACAGAATGTAATTACTGGAAGAGCTGGAATTATACAGGCAACATTACACTGTGAAACATGTTTCTGGGTATGCAAAGACTTCTATTTTAAAATCACATTTAGAGCATCAGGCACATATGCCATTTGGGAGTCATCCGGTTTACTCTCATTTTAGTTCAGTACTGCACTCTGCGCAGTGGCCAAGCACATCTCACTGAAGCCACTGGGACTACTCATATGCTTAAATTTGTGCATGTTTAAGTACCGGGCTGCGCAGGGCCTTTAAGCTCACCTTTGCCCTACAGCTAGATTTTAATTTTTTTTTTTTTTTTTTTACCAATAGACAATTTTTCTTGTTGCTTCCCGGCCAGCTGACGATTTTTCACTGCCTGCAAAGAGGGCTGCAGTGAGTCTGGAATGGAATTCTTGCCTCTCTCTGCAAAAAGCCAGGATCAGCTCCCAGCCAATGAAGATACGAATTTTTCCAGCTGAAATTTTTTTTCAGCATAAGAAAAGCAAAACAAGAGAGCCTAAATGACATACTCTCCTAAATGACAGAGGAGGTGGCACAAAGTCATTCACAGAAATAGCAAAGAATGACAAGGCAAGCATTTCTCAGAAATAATTAAGAGTCAAAGACACAATGAATACTAACATACGGCTGCAAACCTAAAGCGAGCAAATAGTTTTATGGAGACCAGACCACCTCTATGAGACTGGCTTCATTAACCTTCTCACTAAGAGCATGACTAGAGAATGTAAGTTTTTACAGCTTTGGGAGAGAGCCACCACCCAGCATTCTCTACCCCAGCCCCTTTGCCAGTGCCTGCCCATTTCTGCCGGATGCACACGCTCATCGGAGCCGGGAGAAAACAATAGGTGGTAATGACAGAAACCTTCCCTTCGCCAAGTCTCCAGGATGGCAGCGCCAACAGAAGGTTGCAGATTCACGATGTTTACTATTTACCAGGCTGGAAGAGCCAACTCCTAATGCAGGACTGGTTTTCTGTGTGTGCGCTGGTGTCTTTGCATCATGCTGCTCCCAGCATGTCTGGTGGAGAGAATACTAAATCTTTTAACAGTAGCAGTGAAGCTGTATTTCTGAGTGTGCAATCCTGTCCAAAAGCTGCAGATGTTTAAGCTATTTCCTCCTTGAGTTTGATGGAAATAATAAAAGGTTACTGTTGTCACAGTAAGGAGGTCTGCAGCTGGCCCAGTTTCCTTTCATTACTATCCAAAGTAAACAGATTAAATCGAACGGCTAGGATCACTAAAAGAGGTTCTTTTTTAACATGGATTTCCCCCCCCAAACTCTTGTGCTCCCTCTAACACTCCCAAGTGTCTTGAATTCTCCGGACTAATGCCTTGGAAGAGCTCTACCACTCAAACCTCTTCATCTTCAACTCTTCTTGCCTCTTCTCTTCTTCAGCTAGTGACAGCAGAAGATGAGGCCTCCGACATGAACTCACCAGCACTAACCACCAGCTGTTGGTGCTTTGAAACTGAAATATTGGAGCCTACGGGGCTCCCTTTCGGCAGACAGGCGCCTGCAAGGCAGCCACCCTTGCAGCAGAGTCCTGCGTTGCGAGCACTAACACAGGGTGTACCCAGAAAGAGAGGGCAACCTCACCACAAACAGCATGTCAAGGGATAGCTTGATGGATGGCTTCGTAGCAGCCTCCCCATCTACAGGGAGCAGAGCAGTTCCCTTCTCAGAAGCACCTGAACTGCTTCTGGCCAGGACAGTGCGTTCTACTGTTCAATAAAACCAGCCCTAAGCAGCCTAATTATTGCAATTATCTCTTTACCTGCCTTCTAGCACCATTGACTTCTCCAAGTATGTCCTCTCATCCCAACACTGCACATCAGAGCCAACCTTCTCCCAGCCATTACAGACAAGCTCTTCGCAAAAAATACACCACGCACGTGTCTCCCCAAGTTCCCAATCTCTGTCTTCCAGATCACTGATCAAGTCCAGCCAAACCCAACTGTCTAAGCTGTCATGGAAAGAGCAAAACTTTGCTTAATCCTTCTGTTTCAGGACTTCTGCTGCAGGTGGAAGGCAGAGGGCTGCCCTGCTCATGTGAAAACCTGGAGGGGATGTAGTGCAGCAAACTGTGCTGGTGGAGAGCTACCACCCCCCAATCTCCCCAGGGGCACGGATCTGAGGAGGTCCTAGGGCCCTGGACATCCATCAGGATGTAAATGGCCCGTTCACAGGGCTGTAAACTCACCGAACAGAGAGAGGGTACCTGCCTCAAGCAACTTACAATCGAACACTTAGAAAACGTCCATCTGGTGAGTGAAAAATATGGGGCTTACAGGCTTTGATACTGGTGCCAATTAAAACAATTGCATTTACTATTCACTCCTTTAATGTTAGGAGAGGGCTTTGGAAACCCAGTGCTTTTACAAGTGGTTAGGTGTTGCCTGCTTTGCAGAGGTAATGGATGAAAAGCACTATACAGATAAAAATCCCAGAAGTAACATATCTGGAGTGAAAATCTAAAACTGACACTTGAAAGTTCATTGAGTTGCCTGGTGACTCCAGACTTAGTTTGCTTGGCTGACAAGGCAAAATATGGATTGCAACTGTTTGTAGTGGGAGCTTCTTCTGGGATCTGAAAACCCAACTATGCTAGTTCATCTTTCTTTGACAGAAATCCTGTAGTTACATTTGAGCTGTTGCTGTACGGGCTAGAACAGAATCCAACTCACTCTCACATGGCAGGATTGTCTCCAGACTATTAACTGAAATAAAGATTGCTTTGGTTTCAGTGAAGTGAGCCAGAGCAAACCTTGGTCATACTGGGAGCCTGTATGCTGCTCAGAGGATCAAAACTGTGCTAAATTAATTGCTGTGAAAACAAACCTTTCAAATCAATGTGATGGGAAAAGCTTAGGCACCACCAGAGATTTTGACACAGAGATTGCCTCACTGACAACTGGAGAACTTGAAAGACTTACTTTGTCTGTATCACTTTTCTCGATCACAATCTCATCTGTCTCTGTCCCACTTTCATCCTCCAGAAATGGGTTGGTGGAGGGCGGTGGCACCTCTGGCTTCTTCTGTTAAAAAAAAAGAGGAAGCTACTTCGAGAACGGTCTGTTTTGTTCCCTCTGGCACACAGCTGCATCCATGTTTTGCTTTACTAAGCCCTACAAAGCACTGTACAGCAGTTTGTCTTCTCCAAGCACAGAGGTGACTGCAGAGTGCCAGGCGGTGCCTCTCCATCATGGTTAGAGCACACTCCCTCCTACCACAGCGCTTGAGTCTTGTTCCCTCTCCATCACACCACCGGCACACTTCATCTTCAGCACCCTCTTATAGCCTGCTCTTCTTGCACCCACGCTTACCCGCTCTGCCCAAATCGTCCACGAAAGGGGCATTTTGACCAGGGTCAAATTTCCACTCTCCCAAACCACGCACTCCAAAGCAGGTGGTCTCCAGCGGGAGGACACATGACAGCAGGCCCCAAACTCTGCCGTCGCAGTAAATCCTGCATTACTGCAGACTGCTTGTGCCCACTCTGCACTCACTAGATAGCCATTTATAATTATGGCCTTCTTTTTGTGTATAAAACAGGTCAGATGATGACACCCAGAGTGTCACAGCCTCTAGGCACATCAGAGAGGCGGACAGAGAGGATTTTCTTTTATTTCAAGCCACACCCTCCCCTTCTGTTTTTCTCAGTTATAACAGCTTCTGTGCCTACATTCTCCAAAGGGATAACAACCCAGTGAAGCCAATTTAATTAAAGCTGCAAACTTCGTATGAAATTTGTCAGAAAAATAAAGCCATATTCTTCAGAGATCTAAATTCAGCCAGGAGGAAAACCTTACAGGACTTCCCTTTTTAATTAGCGGTACCTACCGATCCACAGCAAATTACAAACAGGTCCAGCAGGGTTGCCTCGTAGGCTGAATTACCATATCCAAGTAGGCTTCAAGACACCAGCCAGACAGAGAAGCCAACCTCAAACCAGTGGCTTCTGAGCCACACGTGGACTCTGTGCCCCCTGGGCATTTGGCTGGCAGAGCTCTTGGCTGAGATTTCAGGCAGAAAAAGCACAGAGATGACCCCAGAGATATTCACTGAGCTGCTTCTCTTGGCACTGCCTTTACAATCTACCAAATGAAACACTGAAGAGTAGAAGCTACCAATGCCCCTGCAAGTAAGACTAACCCAACAGACAATGTGGGATTGAAAGATGGTACCATGCGGCGAACTTGTGGTAACTAGAAATGAAAAGAAGACGGGACTTTTAGTATAATGTGTCATTGACATGCAGAGAACAAATATTATAATGCAGTCACCATGCCATAATTACTTTGTGGTTCTCCACAGCAATGTGGCTTCAGTTGCAAACAGCACAGGGCCCAGGAGAACCCAAAAAGTACACAATCAGTATACTGTCCTTGTGAGCCCTGAGCCATCCTCTCTACCACACTCTGCAAGATCAAGAGTCACCTTCCCAATTACAACCCACGAAGCACAGTCACACTAAACACTCTAACCTGCCAGCACAAGAGGAGGCTGCAGGTGACACTTTTCACAGTCTCCCATTACCATAGCTATGTGTGAGAGGGAGCTTTTTTCTCCTGAAGAAGCTGTGGACTAAAGGGTTGCTCTTTAGAAATCCCCTTACCACTGTCCCATCAGCTAGAGTGCAACCTGAGAAGCGTTTAGCCAGAAGTCCTTCAAAGTTGGTTGTCCTCTGAATTGCAAACAAAAGCAATTTCACCTCAATCTCTTTTGCTCTTGTGCGCATTATCTTAGCAAGCTCTGTCCTGAAAGAGAGAGGGGGAAAACAGAAAAAACAAATGTGGTTTTCTATAAAGAGAAAGATCTGAAACCTAAGATTGTAATTCATTCTATTCCCTAGAGACGCTTTCATCACAAAATTCGGACTAATTCCTAAGACGCTCTCTAACACAAAACCACTTTACGGATCACATTTCAAACATAACCACAGATGTTTAGAGCTTTGTGGGTAACAGGACCCCATCTCCTCACACCCAGCGCACCACAGCAGCCAGGAAAGCCTCCAGTATCAACCCTTGGGAAGCGCAGTGTCTCTGACTGGGGTCCCAGAACAAAGGCAATGATGCTACTGGGGCCCAAGCTGGCACCTTCCTCTGGTCCCCCACCCCTGGCTGGCAAAAAGCATGGTCCAGGGCAGTCACACCACAGTCAGCTCACATTTTTTCACTTGGCCTCTAATATTACTGGCTTCTACCTCTGTTACACTGAAAATTGATTTCCGCATCATCTCACTCTCTCAACAGTACACGCAGTTTTAGTGATACTTCTCAGGGTTTTCACTCTTCACTTGCTTTTAATCATGGACAATTCTACATAGATATTTGAAGACTGCCTTTAAAGTCCTTTGGATACATGATCAATTTGGTGAAAGACAAGCCAACCTTTTGTTTTAAGGAAGGTGACTCTGCCGGGAAGTATCGTGAGCTCCCCAGACACTCACCTCGTGACGTGGCAGAACTCCACAGCGATGCGCTCCGTCATGCACCACTCCTGGGGAAACATGCGCCCGTACTTCTCCTCGTAGTCCACCAGCTGACGCTTTATCCAAGCATAGCGCCTGTCAATCTTATCCAGCCAGGCCACCTGAATAAGATGGAGAACAACATCTTTAACAGCAGCAGCTGCTAATGTTCAGCCTGACTGCTTAACTGTGCTGCCACAGTTTCGCAGAGGAGCTTGGGCTATCGATCAAAGCTAACTTGACCACTATTAATAATACTTTGAATGCTAACAGTCATTCTTCAAAGTGTTTAAACACATGCCAGACTGAAAACCCTATCTTGTGCGAATTAAGAGAGCAAGTTCTGTTGAGAATGAGGATAACAGTACTCCTAAATCATGTAGGTACTATTGAAAACTCAATAAAATAATAATTCATTTGATCCCACCCTCTTTGTTTTGCAGACAGAGAGGTCAAAGTCAACAGTGGGATGAGAATGCAGGAATTCCTGGATTCTCACGTTCAGCATGTTTTCACACTCCGGGGACTGTGGACCCACAAACTTCTAAAAGAATTCTTACAACATGAGCAGGATGGGATTTTTTCCCCCCAGTATTAGGGCTATCTGGTCAAAAAGTAGAAAGATTAATCAAAAAAACTTTGATGGAAAAATGCTATTTAAAACGAAGCATTTTAGCCTTCTTCTCCTCTTTTGTCACTAACTGTCAAAATTTCAAAATTGTTAAAATACATTTTGATCCAAAGTTGATTTTGGTTTGGTTTTTTATCAAATCCAAGATAATTATAGTAAATTTTTAAAAAGCTGTTAGCATTAGGACAGGAAGTTTAAAAATTAGCTACAAAGATTAATCCACTTCCTGGAAATCCCTCCCCCCACTTTTTAGGCATTTTTGGGGGTTTTTTTTGTTTGTTTGGGAGGAGGTGTTGTTGTTTTTCAAAGTTTTGGGGTTTGCAATTTTCAGAGTTTAAATTTTCAACCCCAAAAGTATATCTAACTTGAATTTATTTATTCACTATACGAGGGGAAAACATTTCCAGTGCTGATATGTGAAACTGAGGTCTAAGGTGGGAGGAAGTCATCCTGGCAGAGACGACATTGACTCCCAGCTCATCAGCCAGTCCATATCACACCCGCAAGTCACTGCTTCCGAGCCCTCGGGTTAAAAACACTTCACCACAGGAACCTGTGGAAACGTGAACTTTGTGAACACCACCAGAGCAAAATGTGAAATCCAAATGTAGTTTGCTAAGCTTCCCTTACATCTTGGTTTTCCTGGAAAAGGACCAGATACTCTGAGAGGTGTTGTTTAATAAATTTCTTGATGATTTCCTGTTTGATTCTGGGATCCAGGACATTGGCGACTAGACATGCATCACGTAGGACATTGCTGGGTCCACCAGGCCTCTATCAAAATAAATAGGAACAAATTATTTAAGGTTAAATAGCTGAATGGGTGATTGTAAACTGTAATGTATCCAGGTTATCTTGTTTTTATCCTTTCCCATTATTCTTCTCTTTTTGGTACTTCTGCTGCTACTCTTTATTATCACTTAGGCATCTTTCTTCTGTTGAATGAAAATTGAGCTCCTTCCATTTCACTGGCCGTAAAGTTGTTCTGCAGCTCAACAGCCAGGACGCTCCCTACAGCCAGCTCCATCTACAGAAACAACTGTTGTCCCATCACTTCTGCAAAGCCTTGCATCATCCTACATATTCTGAGGAACAGCTAAGAGAAGTGGCTGACAAGTGGGACAAGCGAAACTGCAAGGCCAAATTAATGGGGGAATTAATGGGCCCTTTTCTGCAAAACTGAAGGCCAAATTAACGGGGGGAAAAAAGCAGTCTAGAGATGATCAACTTGCAACACTTAAAGTAGCATCTGCTGGTCTGTATTGGTATACCATGATGTTAGTGGAGGAGACAGAAAATTTAGCAGCATTTAAAAAAAAAAAATGCTCTTTTGAAGCTACATCACATGGACAGAGATTTGCCCTTCATCAAGGATCTGTTCCAAATAGTTTTCTCATTTCTGTACTTGCTAGTTTTATGAAGACGCCAGCAGAGCTGGTATTCTGGAAGACAATACTAGTGTTTTCTTTAATAACCAGTAACCTGGGTGAGATGCTGAGGGAACTCCACTCTGGTCTACAGGGCCACACATCAATTGCTTGGGGCATTCTTCGACTGGCTTGCAGAACTCACTGCAATAGATGTGCGCAACATGACAGGGGAAGGGTGTCATTTCTCTCCCACATTCACTTGATAGAAACAGTGAGAAATGTACCTAGTACCCTACAGCTTGGGAGACTCGTTTGCTTTCTAAAACAACTCCTGAAACAGAGAGAGATCAAATCTAGAAGTAAAATGAGATAAAACCCGATGACAATTATGTCGGGTAGTTTTCAGCAACACTTTTCAATGGGAGGAAGAGGGGAAGTGAGAACTTTACCTTTGTACCTTGAGAAGGAAAGGCTTCCTCGAAGTCAGCCAGGATCTGCTGTCCCAATTCGTTCTGCGCTGCCTTCACCCTGACGAGGACAGAGGAAACAAGGGCTTTGCTGGTGGTACAACAACTTCTTTGTTTTGCTGTCTGCAAACATTACTACAAAGTGGACTGAAACGCTAACAGCTACACAAAGGTTTTTAAGGGACATAAAAGCACGCTCAGGAAAAACATCCACATTAAGAAGGCCTGTATGTCAAAACTGGGAGAGCGTTTGCTCCCTGAATGATACTGGGATGACAACTCCATCTCTACAGCATTGATCCCTGAGCTGTAGCAGAACGCATCCTAGATGCTCTTGCCCTGCTGCAATTTAGTATTTTAATAAAGGCCAGTTAATCAGCTGAGAAATCAGCAGGGCTCCTTTAATGCCAGTGTGATCAATCTATCTTTACATTCATGTATGTTGACCACATTTCAACCAAAGTATGTTTCTAACACGTAAAAAGCTTCACAATGTCTCAATCTTCATCGTGGACCTTTCACAGTTCCAGGTGCCCCGACCTACTTTTAGATGCATCCATGTGAATACTGTTGGCTGTGGTTTTAGCCTATAAATCCTTCATGTCTTAAGAAGCATAAAAGAGCAAAGGTATGAAATGCGTGAAAACTTTTGAACAAACCACAATCTTGCTCTTTATTTAGCTGAGAGAATAAAGCTTCCAATTTCCAGAAATAAACGTCAATACGGCTTAATTGATACTTCTAGGGAAATGGAAATGCCTACACATACTAGAAAGAGCCAAAGCAAACAGTTAGGCACTTATAGCCCTTGAATTCTTCCATCACTTTTTATTATACTGGAAGTGTTTTAAGGTCTAAAATGATCATTCAAAGCAGTGGATTTTTCCACTGAGATTGATACGTTAGAAAGGGTGGCTACATTTACTTTTGTGAAAATGTTTGTTCAGACTGTGGGGAGAAGAATTTGGATTTTTCTTTTGTTTAAGACTCCTCAACCTTATCAAGGAATGATCTGTTTCTTTAATCTTCCCATTTGAGGTCCATTAGCAGCGAAACACTACAAGATGACCTGACAATGATGGAGAATAGGCTGGATTCTTTAATGGTGCCAAATGCAGAAAATTCTAGTCCTTTAAAAGTGATGGCTGAAATATAACTTTATATCTGTGATTTTACTGTATGTATGACCTGCCTTATCCAGGATTTATTTATGGGGATTTTGCTGGAAAAGCTTCCTGCCTGCAATGTCAAACTTAATTCTCACTTAAGCTCTCTGCTTCACAGGAATGTTTAGAAACTCCTCTACCCTTCCAGGTATAATAGATCCCCAGTTAACACCTTCATAACTGTGAAACAAAAGGGATTCACTACTATGATGAAATAGAAGGAGTGGGAAATTTAAGCAATAAGGAGGAACTCGGTGCAGCAGCCACAACTACAGGTATAATCCTGCTTAAATTGCACAAGTAAGCACTAGTAATTCATGTAAGAAAGAATCACAGAACCAAACCCTCTGATCCTTAAGAAAACAAAAAAAGAAGAAAAAAGACACTAAACATAGACTGAAAATTTGTATCTTTTAAATAACCAAGAAACAAGAAGTTTTTAGTATTAGGAGTCACAGAAATGAATTAGTTTGTGTAAACAACTGGAAAGGTTAGCTGTGGTACAGGTAATGAGCTACAGGGACCTTCCCATTTAAAAACAGCTGCAGTGCAAGCACAGAGGAGGCACTGAAAAGAGCAGCAGCCAGATTCCTAAATACTCAATAAATTTAAAAGAGGCACTGTCAAGCAGTCAAAAGCCCTGTCCACGGGCTTTGCTGTTTTAGGCTCTGATTCAGAATAGTACTTAAGGATAGTCTTAACGGGGATTCTCATATCCTTAAATTAAGAAACTTGCAGGAGTGCCTTCCTGAACTAGGATGTTAAAAATATATTTTTTAAAAAAAATCTGTCCTGCTTAAAAATCTCTCAAAAGCAAACAGGGAAAATGAGGTTTAGCCTTTTTTTTTCCTTCTTCATACTTTGTAAGATAGGGATAGGGCAAAGACATCAAAGTAGCCAAAGGTTTTGGTATGTGTGAGCAATGACAGGGAGCCTCACTGCCCCCCCAGTAACTATCACTCTTCACCTAAGCACACACACACAGACACACAGAATTATTTTTTCCCACGAGCATGCACCCAGAAACATGAAAACCTTTATGCCATCTCTGTACAGAGTGATCGCTTTAGGCAGAGAACACAGGAAGGCACTTGCTTTAGCCACTAGAGATTATTGCTCCCCATGGAAATCTGTGAGTCTTTCAACAATTCAGAATAATCTTCACGCAATGAAAACTGCAGCAGTAAAAGCCTTAACCCTATGGCTGGCTTCACGCGCGTTCCCCGCTGAAGGACCGTTTCTGCACGTGCGAAAGTGTATGTGTTTAACCACTTGCAAAAAGTGAATTACCCACTAAGGCTCAGCAACCCCAGGCACTCTCAGCTGGTACCAGATTTAGGATCTTTTCTCAGGTCGGTTTGATAAGGATATCTTTCCCTGACTAGCTTCCCCCCGGCAGCATGCTGGGGTATCGCAGCAGCCGTCCTGGCTCGCCGCAGCAGGGAACTGCCTTTTCCTGGGGTTGCTCGCATGTGCCAAAACCTGTGGTTACCCGAGTATTAGTGATTTTTGTTTCTCTGACTTTTGTTTTATTATTAGTGGCTTTTGTTCTCTGTTTCCCCTGCCTTTAAAAGAATAAAAACAAGAAAACCCACTGTTATGTTTCAAATGACATTAAATTACTAGAAACCGCAATTCCTTTAGCCAAAGCTACCAGAAATCTTAAACTACGCCTGGCAGCTTGCAGAGATAAAAAGAGGCTGAGCTAGCCTGTTTTTCTGTGGCAAACTTATAATCGTCTTTCTCCTAAATACTTTCCAGGCTTTTTTCCACTATCTGCTAGGCATTCTCGACCACTTTCATGGGTGGGTTTGTGACCGCTAATTGTGTGCTCCCTCCACAGACAGAAAATAGAAGAGGATTGAGTGATAACAAAATATTCCTATTTACTACAACAAACAACTTCCAATGCACCATATAAGAAGTTGTTTTAGGAACATGATTAGGAAAATATTTACATTTGGATGTGAGTTGTAATAGTTTTACATCAACACTCAACAGGGCCAGCACAAGTCAACTAATTGAGACTTCAGGCCAGGTTTCCAATGAATACTTACAGTGGGATTTTGTTTGGTTATTTTCAAAGGGACAGAACAGGTGGAAAGCAACATTAAAAACACATCATTAGTTTTCACAGCATCTAGGAGCAGGAACCTAAATTGAACACCCCATGACAAAGAGCACGTCCAACAACACCAAGCAGGCACTTTTCCCTCCCATGGTTTCCCGTTCATTTTTGGCTTCACTCCGTTCACACCAAGAAAGAGAGGCTCTTTAATAAAGAAAGCAACAGAATCTGCTCGTTTAGCAGTGTATATAATAGACTTATTGTATATAATAGACTTCAGCTATTGTCACAGGTCTGTGCCAACATCTATTAAAGCATTTCTTGCCTTCACAAACATCGAAGAGGCTTCACTTGTACCATTAAACCAAATTTGTGCGATATCAAACCCCAGCAATTTCACAGTCTAAAAATAGCACTGCGAGAAGCCAGGCAAACTTCCTTTGATGTTTCATGAATCACAAAAGTATTTCCAAGCAAAGAGAGAGAAAAGTCAACTCCAAATTGGGCCCTAATAGGTACACGTGTAGTCAAACTCCAAATCAGATATTACTGCGCCATAGACCTCCCTGCAGTAATTTGCTGCCTGGATGTCAAAGCAGTAAAGAGATCCCAGCAACACCCTGGGTGCAGCTCTCCTTTCGCCCCACAAGCAGCCGCTTCTATTGCTACCAGATGGTGCAACTCTCCCTGTGTAAACACTGGAAGGAAAACCCTGCCGAGGCAATTCTAAAAATAGGAGGAACAGACTTTCTTGAGCTTTTCAGATCCTTATCTTAAAGGGAGAATAAAACAAAAGAAGTTTTCCTCCGTGTCCTTGCTAGTCTCTCTGGCATGACTCGAAACCACTGTGCCTTTTAGCAGCAGCATGAATTGTTTTCTATAATTATCAGCAACTACAAAAGTATTAAACAATCATCCATCAGAAAGGGAAAACCATCCTGGACCAAGGCTTAAATTAATTTTGGCCTTAAAATGGCCAATGACAGCAGGTTTCTGCCCAAGGGCATTAAGACTATGGAAGAAAATGAAGCCAGCTATCTTCCTGAGCACGAGGTTGGAATAGACAACCACCTAAATTCAGAAAAGCAGTGACATATGTTTATATTTCCTTGATGTTCATCTTCATTTAAGCAAATGCTTATGGTCAAATGCTTTGTTAAAACAAGGCCCCATCTCTCTCTCTGGATTTAGGGTGGATTTTTCTTTTGCTCTGTCTCATGGATTCCATCTGGGTTTTCTGGAAGAGGTATCTATACCATAAAGAAAGTCCAACAGATTTAAATAAAAATACTACAAACAAATCATTCAAACACTGTTTCCATCACTAAACAGCACAGGCAGCCAGCTGCTGTCTTAGCAAAGGGAGTCACCAAAAAAATTAATTACTGTGCCTGGAAGGCTCCTTCAAGTACCTCTGTAACGAGCAAAGTCATCTCAGGCATCAAGAGGATGGTGGTGATAGATCTGCAATTTTCACACTGAGAAGAAATGCTATCAGGTATGGGTGTATCATTAAGAAGGTTCATCCCTAACGTTAATAGGCTATTTTCACCTCTGAGCTGTGCTCTGTGTTTGCTCAGCAGGCTGTTAAGCAAACATCATGTCTGTGATGTAAGAGAAATAAAGCCTGCTGTAAAGGAGGAAGAGTAGGTTTTGGCCAGGGACAGCAATGGTCCCTAGAACAGAGAGGGCCTTGTTCCCTCTACACCCAGCTGCCACGTCCCACATGAAGCCAGGACCCTAGGAGATCTGGTGGCTTAGTCACCACCGAGCCTTCACCGGCTACTGCTGAGAATGGTGGGCACTTGCTGTTGGAGCTGCACCAAAAGATGGAAAATCAAGACTATACAGGCTCGGCATAAATGTTTAGAGCAGTCAGGTGTTCTGCATGCAATTTTGGGAAGATTTGCTATAAGCCTCAAATCTCAGCAGAACTGGGCAATGGGAGCAGGTTTTGGCAGAAGAAACTCAAGGTGCTCAGAATAACTGAGTTTGGCAAATGCACAAAAAGAAATCCTGCCTGCTTAAACCCTTGGGCAACTATGCAGTTTGAACAGCAATTTGACAGCAGTAAGGCAGAAAGGGGCCCCAAGCACCGCTATGCTAATGCATATATTTCTGCTTCATGCTGAACTCTATCACTGAGGTTAAGAAAGCAGGAGGAAGCATCACCTCAGGGTTCACCACAAACACCTGCACATGCAGATCACATAAAACAATTTGCACTTCCACAGATTACTCCAGGTAAGGCAAATTAAAAGCCAGTCAATGAGAAGCACAGATCATTCATGAATTACATCCGTACTGATTACTGTTATTTAACAGAATAGGCTGCTCAAGATTTGAGCAAACTGTGTCCAATTTTAACCCATTTGTTTTGGCTGGAAAGAAGCTCAAAGGACCATGTCCAGCCTTTACATCCTTGAGAAACTGATTCTGCCTAATGCATTTTCTAACTTTCCTTCCCAGCAAGCATGCAAGTGCTCAGGGTTTGATCATTTTACCTTTCAGAAAGCTGTCGAATCTGAGGAATCCCCATGTATTTGTTGAAGTGCTCTAACACATTCACGACACCTTGGAGAAGGTTGGCAACTTCCCCATATTGTCTCCTCCTGGTCATAGCCCTGTAGAGGAAATTAAAGATTTACAAAGGCAGGTTCGATGAAAAGTCCTGGGTGGTAATTCCAGAGGTTACCTCATCCCCACTGGGTCATGCCGGTCCCTATTGACATTTATTTTTCTAAAATACACAACTCCTCATTAACATTCTAATGCAGCATTAAAATTTCACTTAACTGATGCTAAAATAAACCAATCTGGCACACATCTAACAATACTTCAAAAAACATAAATGTAAAAAGCAACACTTGGCAAAGAACATGTAAACTACTGAATGCATCCACGTCCCAGTATGGGTCCGGAGGCACTAAACGTTATTTCACTATAATGACCTCAGTTAAGCCATTTGTCATCACACACAAAGTGTCAGCTAAAGCTTCACAGGGAGGAGAATCATTATGCTGAAAAGCTATTAGCCTTGCCTTTTCTGTTAATAACTTCTACAGGGAACTGACAGAAAAAAAATCAAGTTTATTTACTTTTATTTCATCCTTTAGGATCACTCCAATGAATACAGCAGCCTAAGTAAAATACAATTCTGAACACTTAATAACCCAGTGTTCGTGCAGAATTTGCTACAATCCAAGAACAGGCTGTGCCTGGGACTTGCAACTTTACAGATGCAATATGTAAAAAACTGGATTTCCCTAGCCTGTGTATTCCTCAAGCACATTAAAAAACCCACAGAGGATTATTAGAAACATCTCACCCCACTTCATACACCGTACAAGCTGTAAGGCTTTTTTGAACTCATTCTCAGAACTAGAGTAGACTTTTCCGAAACAGAGATCTCATTCCAGTTTAAGACATGAGACTGATAAAAATCCCCCAAAATCCCTGAAGAGCACATCCCTAATGAGGATACCTAACTGCACAGACTGTCTTACTCTTTAATGAAGTCAGACTCATTCCTTATCACCAAGGATCAACACCACAATTCAAGCAATCGATGCTGCAAACCCTTAAATAGAGCAGCATAGGTTGCAGGTCACTCAGAGCCGCACAGAAAGGATCTGCCAGCAAAAATCAAGACTGCAACCTATTAAGCAAACTTCCCTCCCGAAAAACAAGCAGCTGTTACAGACCTATTCAGAGCACTGCACCAGACTTAAAAACTCAGCAGCGGCGTCAAAGTACCACTAAAAATTCACATACTTACTCCAGTGAATCCACACCCCCCGCCAGCATGTGCAGGTGATTGAGGGTGGTGATGGAGGTGGTCAGATGACGCTTGGCATGATCCAGCTGCTTGATATCCCGTGTGATTTCTTTAACCTAGTGAATGAAAAAAACCAAGAATCTGGTTAAACATCAAGACACAGCAACAAATCTTAAGGAGATAAGAAGGGCTCTCTCCTCCCTTGGGGACTACAAGCACGTTGGTTCTACAGCCGTGTTAACACAAGGACAAGGGTACAGGTTCAACACATGCTTGACAGCAAATTACCAACCAGTCAGCAAGACCAAAGACAAAAATGTTCCCTTCTTAACGAGAACTGGAAGCAAAAGTCTGTGTCCCCCTCCCTTTCAAAGGCTAGAAAGAAACTGCTGCTCACCATTTGTTCAGACTTCTCAGCCTTGTCTTTAATGTCCTTAATTTTACCAAAGAGCTGTTGAATGGCTTTCTGGGCTTCTTCCAGGGCCTGGAAAAAAAAACAAGGTCAGAGTGGAAAGAAAACCTGCATTCAGTTTTCACCTTCTAAGAAATACACAGTTGCTCCCTACAGCCCCTGGGCTGGGGCAGTGGAGGGGAGCTGTTTTCTTACAAAGAAAGTATCGTCAGCACATCAAAAGTCAATGTACCAAGTTGGGATATTTAACCTGAGTGGATCAGGGTTTCAGTTCCCATTTTACAATAATGCTCTAGCAAAATCTGATTGAGATATTCCATGAAAGCACCTCTGTAATAAGAACTATGAATAGCTTTAATGTTACTGCAATAAATTTTGACGCACTAAGTGTGGAAAAATATGTAGAACTTACTCCTGATCAATACGTATTCAGGGCAGGAAAATGAAACCTCCACAAAACCTCTATGCTCGTCGTTAATTCTAAATAAAAACTACACAACATTACAGATAGAACACTGAGTGCTTGCCTAAACCCCTCATTGAATTAGCAGGATATTATCCTGTTGGAAAACATGATGCATATTTTGCTGATTCCTTCAGGGTGGGCAGCTCAGCCTCCCGCCCATCTGCAGGAGGAATGGCTCTTCCTAGGCACAGAAGGCACAGGTTTAGCAGGTAAAGAGGGTCGAGCACGGGAAACAGACCTCGCCTGGATTTTTGTGCTATTTTATCGCAAGCTTCTCGGGGCATCTGGTCCCCTTTATACAACCATGGTGCATCCTGACCTCACACAACCAGCGTGAACAACACGTGCATTCAATGAGTGAAGCCACATGTCCAAAATCACATGTCCAGAATCTGACTTCTGATGTAATTCAACACGTTTCGCCTTCCCAGTCTGATAACATTTCCAGCTCCAGCTCCACTTTGTTTCCCGCTGTTAAGTGGGCTTCTATCCCTCTGTTTTTATATCCAGTCCCATGACCAAGGTTACAGCACAAGCTACAAGGTCCTTCAGCAAATAAATTTAACACATCTTCATTTGGAAATGTATGAGCAAACTATCTGCCAGGAGCTTTTGCTGGAACAGAGCTGCATTATAATAAAAGTATAAAAGTTGGAAACATTTTATAATTCATTTTCCAGAGGGGGAAAAAAAACCTCTCCTCTGAAATATCTTCTGAATCATGTGAAAGTTAACACTTTATCTATTAGTGTCACACAGCTATCATATAGCATGTTCGCTAAGGGAAATGAACACACAAATGGGCTGCAGGGACAACCATAGCAGAAATGAAGACCACCACCTACCTTCTCATTTGGCTCCAGCCTAGCCACCTTTTAGAATAAAGTTTTCTCTTCTCTTCCATTTACAGGCATGTGGATTAAGTGCAAACCGAAGAACTAAAGAATGCTCCTTTCAACATATTTAACTATAGCCTCTGTACTCAGTCCCAGACCACGGCTGCGGCACATTACTCAAGTGGGCTATTAAGCAAGCAGCAACTGTCCTGCATATTCTGAGATTTGGATAGGTCTATAAAAAAAAAAAAGTCAACCTGAAATTCTTCACAGATGCCAACTGCTATGTTTCCCTTTGCTTCAGCACTAATGTTAAATGCTAATTTCTCTGCATGATCCTAGGGAAGTCAGAGCTGCTGAATTCTCCAGAAGAAGAGATGAGGATTTAGCCAGCCAACAAAAAGATTCTCCGAAAAGAGATGTTATCCTCCTCCATATCCAAAGCCAAGGCAATCTCACAAAACTTACTCAATCTTTGGATCATCTCAAACCAACTTAGGATCTCATGCATGCAGAACCCCTGGGAGGCAAAGTACGGAGGATCCCTTTAAAAAGGGAAAAAAGGAAGACCCAGAAACTAGACCTCTGTGCCCGGCAAGATCATGGAGCAGATCCTCCTGGAAACTATGCGAAGGCCCATGGAAAATAAGGAGGTGATTGGTGACAGCCAACATGGCTTCACTAAGAGCAAATCGTGCCTCACAAATTTGGTGGCCTCCTACGACGGGGTTACAGCGTTGGTGGATAAGGGAAGAGCAAATGGCATCATCTACCTGGACTTGTGCAAAGCATTTGACACTGTCCCACACGACATCCTTGTCTCTAAATTAGAGAGACATGGATTTGACGGAAGGACTGCTTGGTGGATAAGGAATTGGCTGGATGGTTGCGCTCACAGAGTTGCGGTCAACGGCTCGATGTCCAAGTGGAGACCAGTGACGAGTGGCGTTCCTCAGGGGTCGGTATTGGAACCGGCGCTCTTTAACATCTTTGTCGGCGACATGGACAGTGGGATTGAGTGCACCCTCAGCGAGTTTGCCGACGACACCGAGCTGTGTGGTGCGGTCGACACTGTGGAGGGAAGGGATGCCATCCACAGGGACCTTGACAGGCTTGAGAGATGGGCCTATGCGGACCTTGTGAAGTTCAACAAGGCCAAGTGCAAGGTCCTGCACATG